CCCCCCATCCCTCCAACACTGCTCTATTCCAACCATTCGTCTCTAAAAGCCATCATATCTGGGACAATAAATACTCCAAACCAAATTGCCCGTATGGCTCCATCTCACCGCCTCCAAGTACGCCCTCGTGTCCCTCGAAACACTCAGATCCCTCCCCGTTTTCTTAACAATCTCATCGTACTCTGCGATGTACTTCTTGATCTCTTCCTTGCACACCTCCATCGCCTCCTCCTCGCCCACGCCCCGCTCCTTCATGATCACCCAGATCGCGTTGAACACGTAGTCGAGCCCGGCCTTCTCCGCATCCTTGCGCTCCTTCTTCCACGAGTACAGGTCGTTGGTCAGGCTGATGGCTGCATAGCCGGGTCGTGCCAGTGACATGCACATCGAGAGCTCGGTGTCTGGGATCGTGAGGGCCAGTCCGAAAGTTAGGGTGCCAAACCAGATTCTATAACCGCAGTCAGCACTCGGGCAATTTTCCATGTTTCCTCCACGCTTCTGCCAGAATCGGGATTGAAATAGTTCAGTTCATCATTTGGGAAACTCACAATTCGCCTGCATCAATGATCCGACTCGGCAGATACTCGGCCAGCGTCTCAAACGGTGTCGACCGCGTGCGCGACGCCAGCTGCACGAATGTGGCCCACGCCTTCATCGACGTCACGCCCCGCACTGGGTCTATCGCAAGCATCTCGCCAAACACCTGCGCCTGTAGCTTCTTCTCCGGCCGCGAGCCCGCGTCGACTTTGCGGTTCAGAGCGTCGTTGCCGAAGGCGTCGAGCATTTGGTCGCGGCCTTCTCTGAACTGGAATTCCTTTTAGTCACATACTGGATGTATATTCATGGGGGAGTACATACGCTTTTCAGATCCAGGTTCTCCATCTCATCTGCAACCCACGAATGGGGTTTATCTTAGCCTGCTTTTCCCACCTAAACCAATTCGGTCCGAACGATCTGGCACCGGAACAGCAAAACCAAAAGAGACAAACCACCTACCATCATACAAGAACGCAAACTCATTCGCATAGCTGATGACTTCCAATCTATCTGGCAAGCACTCCGGCACCGTCACGCGAATGAAGCTGTACGGCACCCCGAGACCACCCAGGTAGCCCGTCACGGGCCTCACGTCGCGGCTCCAGTCCGCCTGGGCGCGCAGGGCCCCATTGATCTCCTTGTCTGGGTCCCTGTGGATGCGGAGCGGGATCCCGTGCGAGAGGCCGTGATCCTCGTATAGGGCTTTGTCGACAACCTCGGAGTACTTGTAGTCCATGATTATTGCAGGAATCAGGAGTGGTGACTTGGTAGGGGAGGTTTGAGGTGCGTTAGATGGAGGAAACGCGGAGGAAACGCATGCGCTCCGTCAACATCGATGCTGCCATCGACCGCCGCACCCTGTCTATATTAACATCCTTGGGGTCCTGGGTTCTGGGAGGCAAGAGGCATATGCTAGTTAGCGTAGGTTTAGTGCTCAGCCGTTTCGCTGTTCGTTATCGCTTCGCAGGTCTAGTTGTAGGTTTGAAGGACCGAGCGTCTCGAACTCCATCCGTCCATGGCCTGCTGGCGGCGTGGGCGCGGGCGTGCCGTTGAAGAAGAAAACGGCAGATGATGGGCAGGACAAGGTCAATCAACCAGTCTAAACTCGACGCAGTACCGCCCCTTGGAGACGCTTGACATGCAAGGTTTATATTCGATGTTGGTTAAGAAGGGGTCGTCGAGCGTTGCCCAACTGGGAGCGGCTGGACTAACCGGAGTAGCAGTAGATGTGCTTAGATACAGGACTTTCTACAAGTACATATGTACAGTAATTACAGTAGTTACAGTGACTAGTACTTGCTGACTTGTAGGATCCGATCCGTTACAAATATTGGTTCCAGAAGGGTTCGCCCTCGGATGGCGGATCCTAGTCTCGCCGACGTGAACACACGATCCACCATTGCGGAGACTGATTTACGAGTCCTTACAAAGTGCAAGCGACGAGCCAATCATGAACCAACAATCGTGCGCGGGCGGCACGCGCGACTATTAGAGTTGGTTGCAATAACTATGTCCGTCCGTATGGGAAAAAACGGTCCCTGGGCTTCCGGAGTTGTTTTCGAAGGGAACAGCACCAGTACGGGACCTCTAGGTACTGTTTGTATTGCGCGATTCAGGGATATGTTGGGGAGGGAAGGTTAATTACCTAGGCACTTTGTAAGTAGATGATAAATTGGGTGGAGTGATCAAGGAGGTTTGTTGGATGTTGGAATAATGACGACAAATCTCTCCATCATCTCCGTGCAGATGCAGTTGCAGTTACAGTGCAGCGCAAGTGCAATAACTAAACGGTCCTTCAAAGGTCTCCAATTATTATTCTCTTAAAGCACATGTACGGCACAGTCGCAGTAGTTCTGGACAGAGTGGAGTATGCCAACAAAAACATGGCGTGGAGCAAGCAAGGGGACGGCCGGCGGACTGAACCGATGAGACTTTGGTTGGTGAAAAAGAAAAGAAAAGTCTGTTGGTCGGGTCCAGATTCCGCCATACAATAGACTCGTGTGGGGGGGAAGAGATAGACTGACGGAGATGCCTAGGTTCATACCTAGGTACTTGTTACATTAGGTAGACAAGTCCCGTCGGCTGCACTTGACAGCGTATCGCTAATTAGCGTGAACTCTGATAATCGTCAGCTATAGGTAGTTTGGTCGAAATGAACGAATTGTACCACCTGTAGCTTGTTCCTGGCACCCGTCATGTTCCATTCTTCTAGTTGAACTCCCGCCCGTTGGGCTGAAGTCAAATTGCAACCATCTCGTTCGTTCCCCCGCGTTCGATCAGCATTCCTTCGTCTTACCCAGCGACCTATCGACACACCCACTCAATTGAAACTCGACACAAGCTTCTGACATCGAGAACAGGGTGCCCGCCATGGACTTTCTAAGCTCTAAGGTGCAGCTCACCGCCCTCGCAATCCTTAGCTACACCCTCGTCCGATGCGTGTATCTGGTCGTTCATCGGCTGTATTTCTCCCCGCTCGCCAAGTTCCCAGGTCCGAAGCTCGCGGCTGCGACGCACTGGTACGAATTTTACCATGACTACTGGAGGGGTGGGAAGTACATTTTCGAAATAGAGAAGATGCACAAGAAGTATGGTAAGTAGTAATGATTACTACCTTTCGTATAACAGGGCTGGGTGAGGAGCCATGACCAAAAAAATGCGTACATACCAGCTTTTCCCCAGATAATCGATTGTGCACCAGTCAAGAGACAGAAAAGATAAAGTCGGATGGAGGGGCTTGTGTAATAATGGAATCGATCGTCATCCATCCTCCTAGGAACCATTGACCAACCCCTGGCTGACTGACCCCGGCACAGGCCCAATTATCCGGGTGAATCCAGACGAACTGGCGATCCATGACCCGGAGTATTATAGCGAGCTATATGTGACTGAGAGCAAGAGACGCACCGAGTCCCACGAGATGTTCGTCAAGGGCATCGACTTCGATGGTAAGTACGCAATTAAGTAACGCTCGGCCCCTCCATCCTCGAAATCGGGATTCCCACGTGAGAGGAAGATTAGATGACTTATCAAAATCCACGTGTCCCACTATAGGCGCACACCTCTTGACGACCGACCACAACCTCCACAGGAAAAGGAGGAAGCCCCTCGAGCCCTTCTTCTCGCGCGCCGGCGTCCAGCGCCTCAATGGCATGCTGGGAGACGTGACGCAGAACCTTGAGAGCCGCATTAGAGAGTACGCGGGCACGGGGAAACCTATCCGTCTCGACCATGCATTTGCTGCGTACTCCGGCGACATCATCGGAAAGATATGCACCGGAGGTAAAGACGCCGGCGTGCATTTTCTCGAAGGCCCGGATTTCTCGCCGGACTGGTAAGTACCCTGGCTTGCTTGCGAGGTATTGGGATCGGAGAATTGACGAAGCTTGCCAGGTACAATGTTATCCACATGCTTGTTCGCTCGTTGCCATTCTTCACGGGATTTCCCTTCTTGATCCAGTGAGCATCTTTTCCTTTGTTCTTTTCGTAATTGCGGATTGCGAGGACAACCCTTTGACATCGCATAGAATCTTGAGCTACATCCCTGAATCATTCCTCATGTGGGCGATGCCACGAGCCCAAGTCTTCAACAAATTCAAGACAGTGAGTCCTTTCAATTCACCGCGAAGCGGTTGCCCCCTCCCGGTCGCGTTTCCTGACAGCCAAACCAGATCGCTGTCTCCCACATCCATGCCGCGCTCTCCGACCAGGAGGAAGCGAATCGCAAGGGCATCAAGACGGACGACCGGGGCTCCATCTTCCGCCACATCGCCAACAGCGACATGCCCGAGTCTGAAAAATCCGAGGAGCGGCTCGCGAAAGAGGCTCAGGTGCTCATGGGCGGCGGCACTGCAAGCACCTCGCGCACCATCAAGTTCGCATCTTTCTATATCTTGTCCGTTCCAGATTTGCAGTCTAGGCTGCGCGATGAGCTGGCGGTTACGATGCAGGATTGGCCGGCATACGTGCCTACCCTCGCAGACCTAGAGCGATTGCCGCTCCTCCAGGGTATTGTGAAGGAATCTCTACGGTGAGTATAACAGCTGCCTGCAATGCGCCTATCGTCAACATCAGAAACTTTACTTACACCTATCTCAGGCTAAGCTACGGTGTCATGCACAGACTACCCCGCGTCTCACCCGACCTGCCTCTACAATACAAGCAATGGGTCATTCCCCCTAAAGTAAGTTCTCCTCCTACCAAGAATCCGCACACACACTCAAAAAACCCTTTTCCACACTCGAAACTAATCAGTGCAATCAGATCCCCGTAGGCATGTCAGCCTACCTCATGCACACCGACCCAGAAGTGTACCCGGATCCCTTCCACTTCAACCCGGACCGCTGGATCGGCGACATCGATCCCAACATGAACAGGAACTGGGTTCCGTTCACGCGGGGGTCGCGCAACTGTCTGGGTCATAAGTAAGTAATTTTCTCTTCCTTTTCCCTCGAAAAAGGAAAAAGATCTACGACTGAAGGAAATGGAATATCATTCTGACGGTATAATGTACAGTCTTGCGGTGGCGGAGATCAGCCTGGCGCTTGCGGTGCTTTTCCGACCAGGTGGACCCGATATGGAGCTGTTCGAAACTGATGAGAGCGACGTGATTATGGCTCATGACTTCTTGATCCCTGTCCCGAAGATTGATACCAAGGGCGTTCGGGTCCTTGTACGATGATGATGATGCATAGCGTTTGTCACGAAAACAAATGAGTCAAAAAAACAAAAAATCACCGAATGAACAAAAGGAAGGTGTACGTCTTTGCGTCTATGTTTTAGTCCGAGGTCTTCGATCTAGGGTTCTATGACTCTAGTCTAGGACTCTAATTATATGACACAACAGGGAGGAGATACATGACAGCTGTACAAGGCACGGAATTTACAACAACAAAAATCAATTACAAGTCGCCTCGCTGCTTGATATTGACAACAATAGGAACTTTTTCGACCAACAGGTACGTCCGTAGGTCTTCCCATGATACCTGCCTATCCTCGACCGCCGAGAAATCGAATGCCCACATGAGTTTCGCCAGGACTAGCCGCATCTCTGACCAGGCCAGATTCTGTGCGAGACAAGCGCGAGGCCCGGCGGCGAAAGGATGCAAGGCCTTCAGGTTGTCGTTATAGTACAGGGAGTGCGGATCCTCCTTGCACTCTGGCAGCCACCTCTCCGGAGCGAATGACTTAGGGTTAGTAAAGTACTTTGGATCACGGTTCAGGGTATAGGACTGGATGGAAACGTGTGTCTATTCGAATGGGATGGTCAGCAGTGGCCATAAAGACGAAAGAGAAAGTACGAGTAGGAGGGTAAACTTACGCCACCGGGAAGGAAATATCCACAAGCCGAAGCACCCTCAGCAGGAGCTAATCTGCCCGGAATCCATGGGATCGGAGGACACAACCTCAACCCCTCGTTGAGAACCGCATTGAGGTAAGGGAGACCCCTCAAGGAATCCAGACTAATGTCGTCCATATTCGTGAAACTGCCTCGGATCTCATCGACCAATCTACCAAGTTTATCTGGAGTCTGGACCAGGTAGTTGATCGTCCCGTTTAGTGCGGTCGCGGTCGTTTCACTTCCCGCAATGGCTAAATGCGAGAATGCAGTTGACAGTTGGTCAAATGACATGCCGCCCATTTGCTTTTTCTCGCTACCATTCCCCACCACGTACGACATGATATCCGGCCTTTCCAGCTCCCAATTCAATCGCCTCTTGACCTTGTCCTTGATCATCTCGTGGTGGCGACGCTGCAGCTCCCTCGTGCTCTTAGGGATGCACTTCATCAGCGCCCAATTCATCCATGGATAGAATGTAGTAGCAGCAATGACCGAGGCCACCTTGACATGCGCAAACATCATCGAGATCCAGGGATGGTACTGTGTTTCCTGAAGGCACTCAAAGGACTCTCCGAACGACAAATCACCAAAGATGTCGAAGGTGGTGAAGTTCATCCATGGCACGATATCGATGTCCGCGCCATGCTTGCCAGCCCCCGTGACAGAATTGCGACGACCGATCTTTTCGCCCAGCCTCTCGATCAGTAGATTCGCATATCTCTGCAAGATGGGCTCCTGTGCCTTCAACGCACGCGGTGTGAACCCCGCAGCGAGAAAGCGCCGGGCATGCGAATGCTCCGCCGCACCGTACAGATTGCCTACCCACTTCTCCTTGCCCGCCAGGGAATCCCACCAGATTGGGTCCTTCTGAAAATACCGGGTCGGTCGGGGCTGCAGGATCTCGTTGTACGCCTCCGCGCACGCGAAGCTGACCTCGTTCGGCGATACGCGAAGCACAGGCCCGTACATGCGGTGTAACCGTTCCAAATCGTGGATGAAAGTCCCACGGACGAGGGCGCGAATGTACGGGATGCGGGTCAGCACCCAGAGCCGCGGACCTGGCACTTTGGCGAGGGGGTGCAGAGTCAGGTTGTACAGTGTGATGAGTGTAGTGTACTGAGAGCATTGTTCGTTAGCTAATTGATTGGGGAGTTACTCGAATAGGGAAATACTTACAGCAAACAATGCAGCGATCAAGGTTATCCAAGGATGACCCTGCATCGAATGCAGAGCTGATTCGAAGGACATAGTTGCAGGTTGCATTGACGAAGTTGAGAAAGAGAGAATGGTGAGGTAGAAAAGGAAAGAGGGAGGGAAAGAAGGAGGAGGTTGTACTCTGGGAGGGGTGAATGTAGTAGGCGTCAGTCAGTCCTTACTTATATCGAACGGGAAAGAAACGAAAACAAAAGTAAACCAAAAAAACAAAACCAAGTAAATGTTCTCAATTAATACCATGCACGTTGTAATGACTTGGAACTCTGAACTCTCCAGGCAACCCTCGAAATCTCCACACGTTGCAGGATCTAGTTACAACCCGGTATGGACTTGGATTCCCGGATCGGGACATCGAAGCATGAGGCACAATGGGGCAAGATTCTTTGTGGCGCATAAGGCGCAGCCGTCACCCACCCTCAGAATCATAGATCACATCCATAATCACCAACATGGTCATCTCTCACCAATTGAAACTTTGTATCACCCAATCACCTCTAGCCTATCAGCTATCATCTATCACACTCCATCTGACCCATCATACAGAACCGAATCCGAACCAGAGTCCAATACGCCCCATCGTTGCCCTGCACAGTGCCATGTGGCGCAAACGCCCTGAAAATCCGATCGAGCGACACAAACCCACGATTTCTTTTTCCCCAAGATCTCTCGTCCGAATCGTCGAATCCAGGTCGTGGCGACGCCTTTGTCCGCCATAAAAATGAATCACCGGTCTTCCTACCCCTCAATCGAAGCCACGGACGTTCGGTCTTGCTCGATCTCACGCATCTGCCATCCGCATTCGTATTTCCTTGAAGGACCAAAAAGCCACAAAAATACATTTTGGTTTTTCCTCCTCCGCTCTTGTTCGCGGTCACCAATTCGAGGAAGTTGGCGCTGAGAAGGAAGAAGGGCTGAGAGGCACAGCGAAATCTTACGTTGTCACGGGGCGTTCACTACTGGGCAATTGCGCACCACTAATCATGTGCTCGCTTGTGGCTGGGAACGATTGGGGAGATGCGGATTAATGAGTGTGAAGGTATAGGTCATAGGGCGGATGGGATCGGAGTGAGATGCGTATTGCTTATGCTACGCCGCATGATTTGGTTGCCTCTTTGGGGGCCGTTGTGAACCATCCCGCCCAAAGTGCTGTAGAATACTGCAATCAGAGTTTCGAACAAACGTGTTCATTATTTGATGTTTAGAGGAAATGTATGTAAACTATGGTATGTGATTGAAAGTGGGGTCAGTGTATAGGCAGGTATGTACTATGAAGTTCATACCCACAGATCAGATAAGGAGCAGCCACTATCCGACAAGACATGTCCAAACGCCCATACGCGATCTGACTGATAGGACGTCGATAAGCTGAATCCTTCGCACGAAAACTCCGAGCTTATCAACGTGGCTCAGGGAAAATGTCATGTGCGGGGAGCTCCCGAGCCTTGAAGGTCAAATGCCCTTCTAAACCCATCGATGATGACTTCGTACGCCTCGTCCCTCATGTCCCATGCTCTCGCCCCCTTCTTCACTCCCTTGTCGAATCCATGACGTGCCCTTTCCATTGACTTATAGTGAACAGTCTTCCCACCCGCCTCCAGCTTTCGCGCCAATGCATCAGCTTCGGGCGCAAAGGAGTCCCCGTCGCACGTAACGATGATACTGACGTCCGGATACAACTTCGCATCTGCCAGGCCTGGCGATACTCGAGGATCTTTACGCAGCGCCTCGGGTGCCCAACAGTCGTTTATCAATCCCATTATGAAAGGACTGAGAGGACGGATGGGCCTAGGAACCGTCTTTTGAGCGGCAGGAAGAGACACATCCGTCACCGGATAGACAGCCGCGACGGCTCGAATCTTCAATCCTAAGGACTCTAAGTCGTGACGTAAACTCGAGGCAGCGACCAGTGCCAATAGACCGCCCGCGCTGAAGCCGCTCACAGCAACACGTGACTTGTCAAATTGCGACTGCTCAGCGACCCAGTGCAAGACATCCTCCACATCTTCAAGTGGCTCCGGGTATGAATGCTCCGGTCCTTTGCGGTAGTCTGCATCGATGACGAAGATGCCCGCTTTCTGCGCTACCTGTGCACAGTACACCGCGTCGCTATCGAGGTACGGTATGAAGAACCCGCTGCCGTGCCAGTTGACCAGGACAGGTTTGGCACCGTGATCAGGTGAATGTTCAGGAGGCGCATAGATGTTGACGGCGATGCTGCGACCTGGTTGTCGTGAAGGAATCGATGTGCGATGGACGACCGCACCCTGTTGCCGAACAGTGTCACGATCTCGTCGCATTTTTTTGAGTCGGAAGATATAGACGAACCACCGCAGGGACGTGGCCAGCAGCTTTTGCCTCACATAGCTCCACAACCCGGGGCCTGACATGATGGTGAAGGAATGTAACGAGCCAAGCTGTTCGGAAGGAATGGTCAGTCGGATGGTGAAGGCTGGAGCTGAAATGGTGGTTGCCTGTCTTACATGCTTGGGTAGGTGCGAGGCCGGGGTGCCTTTAAGTATTACGAATACGGCGAGATTCAGCCCTACGGTGCATCATTTACTGTGCTACTTCAGATGTTCACGCAATGAACGTAACGTAGTGCTGTACTACGCTGTAGATTATCGAAGAAAAGCCTCTTTCTTTATTGAATTGTTCAGATAACTATGGTTTTCAGCTTTCCCATGTACCACCTCATTGGGAACTGACTATTCTCGTTTCGGTAACCAATCATGAGGAAATCCCGGCACCCTGGCACCCTGGGTACTTGAATTTTCACTCTGCCTTTGGTGCACAAAATCATTGCCATTTCTTAACTAGATTTGATGAATAGAATCTAGCTATATGCTCGATGTTCCTATACATGATGTCCAATCTCACCGAAACTACCGATCACAGTCTAAAATAGGCTGTCGTGTGAGTTGGTATAGGTTAAAGCACATATTTGCAGCTGGGGCAATGCACGCAAGGATATATACTTCCTATTATCTCATCTACAACAATACATACAATATTACAAATCTACATTAAGATCCAGCCCAACTCCATCGTAAGTATTATCTCCTCTCACTCCGCCCTCTTCAACGTCGTCCTAAGAGCAGTTGGCGTAACACCCGTGGCTTTACCCTGCTCATCAATCTCGATAACGAACTGCGACAGTGAGTTCCCACCATACGCGATCGCATCGCCGACGAGGAAGTTCGCTCTACCGGCGCCCGAGAACAGCGTCTTACTCTTATCGACACCGGGGGCGTCCGCGGCGGTCGCGACGCGGAAGCCCAACTTGCCTGTGCCGGAGGTCAGGATCGTGGGCTGGAGGCGTGCGCCGGGTGCGAAATAGAACGGTTCCGTCGTCTGGAAGTCGACGCCGTTGGCGAGGTACTGGTCGATGAGGAGGCCCGGGGCGGCACCTTCGGTCTTGTTGACGGAGAGGATGAGAGTGCTGTTGGTGCCGTTGTTGCTCGTGAAGTAGGTGCCGGCGAAGTTGTGTTCGGCTTCTGCTTGGGCTTGCTTCTCGAGAGCGGGCAGAAGAGTGGCGGAGATGAAGTCGCCGAGGGCCTGCACGATGGCAATCTTGGTGGCTAGATCAGGAGAGGACCCGAGGATAGTAAAACCGAAGTTGTAATCGGGGACAAGGACGAGGAATGTTCCTGCAGTGCCGGAATCGCCTCCCTTGGTGTAGAGGTCGGTAACGGCGCCGGACTCGTGTGTCCAGCGGAGGATTTCCCAGGGCTGTCCCATGGCGAACTCGAAGCGGTCAGTGTGGGCGCCGGGCTTCAGCCACCTGTGTGTCTCTTCGGATGGAAGGATGGTAGAGTTCAGGATGCCGGCGCCGAATTGATTGATGTCATGGAGGGACGAAACGACACCACCCGAGCCAGCAGTAAGGCTAGCGGGGGAGAGTACCTCCGCAGGATCATAGAACACAGTGCGACCCAACTCAGCTTCGGGAATGGGTGTTGTGAAAGTGGATTCCAGACCCAGGGGACCATATATGCTCTCAGCGAAGAGCTCAGGAATGCTCTTGCCAGTGATATTCTGGAGAGCAGCGGTCAAGAGGATGAAGCCATTGTTCGAATAGAGGGGTCCAGACCAAGGCAAATGGTTGGGTCCGCGCGGCGCAAGGTTGGGGAAGAAACAGGTGATGTTGGAGTAAACGTCCTCGCATGGAACTGCACTCAGTGGATCCGTCTCAAAGTCGAATACTGGAAAGCCGTCCTCAAGAGGGTTGGTTCCTTTCGTGAGATAACCCACGAGAAGATCTAGACTTATAGGGTTTGTCGGAATTCCAGATTGCTGTGAAGCAAGAACAGCAGGGGTTATCTTGTCCCATTGGATGTATTCGGCATTGTCCTCCTTCGATAGCTTCTCCGCGAGCTCAGCGATAACCGGGAAAAGCTCAGTAAGAGGTGTATCCCAGTCCGCAGGCTTGAGGTTTAGCTTTCCAGCAAGCACAGAAAAGACCTTGGTAATGCTGGCTACTTGATATAGAGAGTTCTCGTCCACCTTGGTGGTGCCATTTGAGGCCTGGATCACGGGAGAGGTGTAATGAAACTGCGACTCAGATACGGATTCGTCTTCGAGTGAGAACAGTCCCAAGGAGAATGTGAGGTTGGAGAGACCCGGAGTCTCGCCTATTGTCGCATTGGGGCCTGCTGACAAGGCCTTCTCAAGGGTAGATGTAATAGTTTTCCATGCCTCGGGGATGTAACTCTTGTTGCTGGTCAAGTCTTTTGGAAACGGGTATCTTGGTCCGCCGAAGTCGGCAAAGGCTGGTGCAATGAGCAGTGGAGCAGCCAGGAAGCTGCTGAGACGAGGCATTTATTATTGTTATTTGATAGTACAAGTCGAGGAAATGCAATGGAAAAAGCGTAAAGAAATGTCGTCTTCAGGTAAAGAGATAGAACAGCTGTTGTGATGGAGCAGACTTGGCTTTGGACGTCTGTATGTATATATACACGTCTTGAATATGGCCCTAGAAGCCATTCATCGCTATTCCGAGTAAGATTGTAAGGCCAGCCTCGCCCCGCTAGCTTCCCAGTTTACACAGAATGTTGTGGGCGATGCTGAGCTCCAAGCCTGCACGACGATGTCCGAAAAGGGTATTAAAGGTGGTGGCTTGATGGCTGTATTTGCCTACTACTCCGTAATAGGGATGGGGTGATCTCGTAGTGCCAGATTCGGACCCACTCACCCACTCCAGGGTGTGATCCTCGACTATTTCGGCTCCATCTCGCGAGCTGGCGTCCTCAAATTACATCATGCTGGGGTCTCTCCCAAGGACCAACGTCCTGGGTTTGGGCTTTGTATTCTTCAGAGGCCGTGATTCCGGGGCGTGCTTGTTGAGTTGTCACTAGTGGTGCCCGGATTGCATCATGGCAAGTTCGGCCTTCGCTCTAATGGCTGTGTATGTCACGATCTTCAATTCTGTACCTTTACAGGGGCGGTATGCGAAGTTCAATGCGAGTACTAAGCGTAATAGGAATTGCCTATGTATAGGTACTGGACAATCATGGGGATGGCTGTGAAGATGTCCGTTTTCACCACAAGTTGGGATACAGAAACACAGCTGCAGCCAAGCCTGCATCGAATCTTCTGTTCATTTTGTTCCTGCGCTACGCAGCCCTGTCGATAGCTGTAAATAACAGACGGCTATTCTGTATCTCGACTGTTGGTCGTTTAGAAGGAAGTTGTAGTTGTAATCCTATACGAGGCGCCGTTGCGGCACAATTCCTTGCGATGTTATTGGCTAGACCCCTTGAGCGTTCGCAAATGATTCCCTGTCCTGACCCCAGAGCACTCCTCTCAAAGCGGATAATAAAATGCATAAAATGACCATTGCCTCCTATTAGAAGCGCTAATTGCGTCCCCTCATCAACATTCAAGTTCATTTCCGATTAAGTCGTTCACTAATCTCAGCCGGGTACATAGTGAGCTGAAACGGTTGACGAAATGGACATGCGAAGTCTCGCCAGACAACGAGTCGTGCGCTGCAAGTTTCATTCATCGTTGAACGATTCTCTGACTGTAGAATTCAGTTCCCCATTCGTTGCGTGGACGTCTCCTAATGCGGCTTTCTTGTTCCAAGGTAGAATCAACTACATATGGGAATACAGGAAAACAATGCATTCGCCCTAGGGAGATTGTGTAGTCCCCGGGTCGTTGGCGTTCCTGTTTGGGTTGTATGGCGCGACATGGAGTTCGAAATGACGTTGCGGCCTCACTACGCCATTGGAAGTACACAGGCCAGACGAACACAGGATTTGCTAAACCTTTGTGCACGTCGAGGCATGATCATACTGGAAAGAGCATGCTGTTCGCAGTGGAATAGCTATTAAGGGTTGTTTTACACCGTCTAGCCTCTATCTCGATTCCAATATTCATGCACGTAGGTTCACGAGGAATGAATTATATTTGTGTTCTCCTTTCATCCACAAGCTGTTTGCTTTCATATTCTTATGCATTGCATTTGTTTATGCAAGATTGAACGGTCATTAGCTTTCATCGTATCCTCGATAGATGTGCAAAAATGGCATTGCATGGCTTCCGGAACCAGTACCTCGGTCCTTGGTTGTTCTTCTGCATCTTTTACACTCACCGGTCAATATTGGTTCGAATAAGATCACTAGTGATCAATTAAAGATGCTGTCATTGTCAATGCATTTCGATTTGTTCGGGCGTAATTTCCTAAGAAAGCTATTCTGGTGCTTTTCATGTCGAGCCCGCCCCCTTAAACTTTTAAAATTGATCAAAGTCGGAAATCCGATGCTTTTTTCTCCCTGGAAACTTTTCAGACGGTAGCATTGATATCATACTCTACGTCTGTGCGAATGACATATTTGGCACCCTCGACAACGCCTGTGCCTTCATGCAGCAGGGCGCCCTGCGCCTCTCCATGGGGAAATACAGCTACACTTCCCATTATCGGCTTGACGGGATACGCATTAATAACGCCCTCCTTGACGCTGGGTATGAAAAAGGTCGTTTCACCGCCCCTGAAGTCGTCGTTGAGATAGATCAGGAAGGTGAACAACGATGACTGTTTGGCCTCAGGCGGCGATGAGTCGTATTGGTACTCATCTGTGGAAGCGTTGATGCCAGACGGTGGCCAGGCTCCGTCTTTGAATCTGTTGTCAGTACTAACTCATGTGCAGAGAAGTGAATGGATGACTCACCAATATGACATCGATACTCCGCCCCCGGAACATATCGATACACCCTGAATCTACGATTGATGCCCCGAGCCTGTCGACCCGCGACGGCTTCTGGCACGAACTCTTTCACCCTGTTCCATAATCGGTTATGGAAGGACTCATCAACGATCCAGTAGAAATTATGAGCGAGAACGCTGGTGTCCTCTCCTTGAGGTCGCATTGGTGCGTCGGGGATGAATTCCATTTTCTCCGCGGCTCCAATAATTGATGAGCATTCGTCTGGTGACAATACGTCTCTGATAAGTCTTAGGTTGGGTACTATTGGATGTTTATGACAATGTGTCTTCGGTCCCTCTTCCAGGAGGATGGCGTTATCTCTTGAGGCGTAAAGAACAGCTGGGTATAGATTTGGAGGCTTGCGATCTGGTCCCTGGGTTGTTTCTATGATTCGAAAACATTTCTCAATTTCAGGAGTGCCGATTTTGAAAATAGTCTTGTCTGCAATGCTCTGACGAACTTGTCGCGTTGGCTCACTGGCACCGCGCAAATCCCAGGTACTCTGTAGTGAGATTGGTCCCGATGAGGCCTCGGTCCCATGAGATGTGGAATCGAGAGGACCAGTAACTCGCAAGACGGCATCGAGGACTCGAATTAATTCTTCATTCTGGGCATTTTGACCCACAATGGTCTGATTAGGAACTTGGACGTGAATCGACAATCCTGAAACAACGTCTAAGGTGCGAACCCATCGGCAAAGAGCACCCAATGTTGGCATTTCTTTCCTGATGCGCATTTCCGCAAGGAGAATGAGTGCATCTGTAAATTTGGCATCGGTGAGCGCTGCCGATATTCGCGCTGTCAAGTTGTTGCCCTCTATTATTCAAGTTAATGAATCGACCAGGTTGGACTATTACGTCACCCAAAACCTACCTGCAGCAATCATTCCCGTTGTGCTTGCCTGTCGGAAGGCATATACAGCTGTCCTGAGGTCTTTACATGCTTTCGACTTGATCAATGATGGATACTGTGATAGTTCTTGCAAGGTCTCTACTGCGATCTCGATCTCCTCTGCTGAAACGACTGCGTGGGCGTTTGATGGTACATTGGAAATAGAAGGGTCGCTCGGAGGGCTTGGGATTCCAGCGACAGCAGTTTTTTTCACTGCATTAGTATGGGCGTTATTATTTCGCTTTCTTTTGGCCATGTTGAAACTGATGATGGACGAATGATCGGCAATGGACTGGACAATGTTTCAGTCTATGAGAATCGGTACACCTGCTACTGATACAATTTAATGAGTTTCGAAGACAATCTTGGTACGCAGGGGATTGGGTGGTGAAGCCAAACTGCACATCATACGAGTAGAGAATTTCGCTCGACATTTGAGATGTCGAGCTGCGATTAGATAAGCGGATAATGATCATTTCTACTTTAGGCTAAGCCTGGCATAATCTCGCTTATCGATAACAAGGATTTGCCACCTCTTCTCCACGTTTCCCCACCATCAACCAGGGAACATGTGAGAGTCTATTTTTACTCCAACCTTGCTTGAGAAGCAGAGATCGCCAGCAAGTGACCGACAATTGTAGGTATATCTCGTATCTTTTAAAATACCTACAAGTGGTCTGATAGTGGAATGGCCCAGCTACAATCGCACTCCAGAGTTTGTGCTACCAAAGTCTGCCTTCCTCGGCTTCGCAAGGACTGTTGAGCTCGTTGGACTCCAGCCCGCAATCATGTCCTCCACGACATTGATCTCATCCTGGCCCCAAACCTCGCTGCCAACAATGTCCCATTTACCACCACTGGACTCTCGGAATACCCGATAAGTCGGCACTCCGCATATTCCATTAGCTTTAGCCTCAGCCGTCAACTCTCGAAGCTTGTTCTTGATAGCGGGAGTGTTTGCTGTCTCAATGAGGAGGCCGCCATCGAATCCGGCATTATCAAGCACCTCTTTGAGAACAGAATCGTCTGCAACGTTGGCGTTTTGTTCCCAGCAAGCCTGATCTAAGAAACGTTAGTATAATGAATATTCGACTACACCGATCTACACTCTTACAAAGCATTGGTACAGTGCTGGGATCAGCAATCGCGCATCTTAGTACTGTCGGAGTTCGAATTGGGAAGATATCTGCCCAATGGAAGTCGATATTTTTGTCAGGACGTCCTTCTTGTTCATTGACGGAATTCCAGTAATGAACCCAATCTGCGTGATCTTGTCGCGACCAAAGTGCTTTGGACTGCGATACTGCAGCCATTGGCAAGTTCGGAGCACCAATCCTAATGCACGTCAATCAAGATCCTTACTTAATTTATACTTCAATGCAAACTTACTCGCGGAACAGTATTCCCAAAAGGAATGGCTTCATCTCGATTTCCAGGTCGGGAAATGTCCTCTTCAGTCGTTCGAGTTGCGTCCAGCCTAGGAAGGCCCAAGGACTACTGAAGTCATACCAGAATTCGACTTTTGTCCTTCCAGCAGTCTTGTTGTCGGGTATGCACCTCGGCATGATGGATTTTAGCCCCGTGACACGACGCCAATCTCCGTTTTTTTGCAGCGCAAGCAGAGCGGCTTCAACAAAGTGCATTCTGTCCTGACCCCAATAAAACCTGCCTTTTCTTGTCTCTCCATCGAAATCCGTCCAAGTTGCTTCGGGGATCCAAAATATAGGGACGCCGAATGCGCCGCGATCAATGGCATCCGTGGTAGCGTCCTCCAGTCCCTTCCTCGCGCGAGCGTCGCCGAAGACAGCCTCAGTGATAGATTCCGCATGCTTGATACCGCTTGCCTTTGCGAGTTTAAGTATCTCTTGACCGTCGCTCACGTCGAGTCCGTCGACCCAATAAGCTTTGAAGAGCACCTTAGTGAGTACGCGTCTGTCATCATTGTCAAGCGCATGGAGGAGGCGTAGTGCGTTGACCGTCTTCCTTGGATGTTGAGGCGGAGGATTGTATGCAACTTGATATCTTCGCAGTGTCCTTTGCATGGAACGGCCCGTCACCGCTTTCTTGGTTGGGTTGAATACGTCAGAAGCCGAGCCAGCAGCACCTTGGGGAGCGGATGTTGCACGGTATAAGGCGCCCAAGAGAACAGGTCGCCATATTAGGGTAGCATTAGTGCGCGCAGCGAGGTCTTCTACACGCGTCGAAGCTATGTATGCCATCGGGCATGAGATCTGTTCATAAGTAATTAGTAAATCTACGGAAAGGTTCTATGGCGGTACGAACGTCATAATTGAATTCTAGTATCGGCGACGCCATTGTTGCTCAAGTTGCGGGTTTCTGTCAAGGGCGAGACTTTGACAACCCTTTTCAAATTGATGTCTTCCTGTCAAGCGAATATATTAGGTTCCGCTAAGTCACATCGAAATTGCTGACAGCGAGTTTTAATGCGGGGTTGGATGCTCAGCCCAGGCAGCCGAGGTAACTTTAGGACTTTTGGTGGCTAGCAGATGGGACCAAGACTCAGTGTGACGCGAACGCCTCACAGACGGGACCCTTCTGTAAGAGTCTTCGAGTCTGTTTCATGTCCCCTGTGTATGTACCTCGTATTTCCATATTGAGATTCACCACGTGCTGCACCATCGCACGTGATATGTGATTTCAATGCAGTAGGCCAGTAACGACCTACATCATCGGGTAATCCGGGGTTTAGTCCAGGGCCCCACGGAGCAACACATAATTGTAGCAGACACCGATATTTGCGGATTTTTGAAGGGTTTTCGAACGGTAGAAGGACATGCAGACAGAAAATGGAGCGACATCATCATCGGGAGGCTTTCGCTCAAAGCGAGCGCGATACTCCCAGCGCGCCTGGTAAGATCCAATGCTTTTGGTCCATATTCCATCGTTTGAACTAACCTGTATCAGCAAGGAATGTCAGAGACGTAAAGTAAAGTGTAACGGAAATCAGCCATGTGCTCGATGCGCCGGCCAGTCTTTTAAATGCGTCTACTCAGTACCATCTCAAACACGAAATTCCCCCCAAAAGACCAGCGAAAGGCGAACGAGTAGCCTAAATCAGGCTGCTGCTCGAGATACCGAATCCAACCATGTATCTTTACCAGAACCATCCCGCGAGAGAAGGACCTATTCATATAATCGGATAGAGGCCACTGTACCTGATGCTCCGCCAGAATTTTCATCCACTTGTCCCCAATTCTGTGGCCCTTCTAGTACTGAATATACCTTCAATGCTGTTAACGGCAATCTTCAAGCTATGGGAATGCAATCCGCCATACCTGATAATGCATTTCCACATTCGAGGGTTGCTTCAACATCTTCAGGCCGCTTGGCACAATACGGACCATTCATGAAACTACTCACAATGGACCCTCTTTGGGATCTTACAAGGGAAACAGCCGTGTTGCTGTTGGACGACTGGTGCGACGGTCTGGGTACTTTGTATCCTATCGTCAGCCGTCGAGCAATGTTGGAAACTATTAACAGAATTTTCAATGCATTCGAGCTCGCCCTTTCAGAGGGACTGAGGGAAAGTGGCGGAGCCGTCGCCGAGGCCCTATTCCATCACGATACAAATAAACTGAAAATCATACTGGCAATCGGCATGACCAAAGCAACGGGCGGGCGTGAGCATCAAGCACAAAGACTATTTCAAAGCACCTCGGACGCAGTAGAGGGATTAATATGGAACCCAGAAGGAATTCACGGCATACAGCTTCTCTATTTAGTGGTATGTACACTCAAAGCACAACCTGCCCGTCATGATGTATTAACGCGCCTTCTCTCAGGCCATGTACCACTATCATCTCAACGAAGAGGTTCGAACGGGAAGATGTATAGCCTTCGCAGCCCGACTATGCCTAGAAGCAGGATTGCATCGACGCGCCATGCTTGAAAAGTCCTTCCCAGACACGGAGGAGCGGTCAGAAGCTCTTCAGTCATTCTGGGCAGTCTACATGTTTGAGAGAAGACTCAGTTTAGGGCAGGGCATCCCTTTCTCCATCCAAGATACGTATATCGACCACTCGCTCTATATTGTCGAAAATACCAATCCGTTGCTGGTTCCACTCTTGCGTTGGACAGAACTTGCCGGGAAGACCTGGCATGCACTCAATAATAGATCAGAGGATACTGATGGTTCCAGGATGGAAACACTCAGCTACCTCGATTATCAAATCACGGAGTGGTATCAAAATTTACCGGGCCATCTCCGCTTGCCAGGGATTGCCGCCCAGAATCCCGATCAGAATCCTACTTATTATCAATCAGTGATGTACGTTCGCAAAGCGCATCTTCGTAATCTTATCTATCGTCCAATCTTACAGTCACCTTCGCTCTCCCGCCAAAACGAAGCTCTACTGCGCAGAGCCGTAGATATCTCCAAGGACACCATAATAACGCTTGTTAACTTCAATGACCGGACAGACCTTGTCCAGACTCATCCTATGTTCTTCCAGCAACTATTGCTCACTGCCTTTGGAAACCTGCTACTCGCTATCGTAAGCGCTGTACCTAAAGTTTGGAATACCGCCCGTGAAGAACTTGACATGTTCTTGAACCTGTTCCAGTTCTTGAGTTCTAAATGCACAGCGCTGAAGAGAACATGGACTAGGTTGCAAGGGTTACGCGACTTGCATTTGAAGTTAAGCCGCCCAGATCGTGCTTCGCGTCCGGCGTCTCCTCTTCACAGTGGTGATGCGGCAACATTGTCATTTGATGACATTTTCCCTGACATGTTGGCGGCGTCTAATACTATGGACTCAAGTGGGCCATTGGCTACAGTTTACCCGATGTGGGATGAGCTTAATTGTGTGTCTGAGGACTTTTTCGAGTCTGGCAATGTTTTTGATTTTCCGTTCTTGAACCTAGAAAGTTCGCTATGAGGGAGTCAAGACGATATGATGTAGCTTTAATGTTAATGTTGATACAACAATGTTCAATATATGGACAGAAATTTCAAGTTCTAAGATCATAGATTCAAGCTCATGATAGGTTTCAACGTCCCACCTGAACTACGTGATGGTAGGATCTATTTCAGAACACACATTACAACTCAATTTTGTCCAACATAATGAGTCGCATATCATCTAGTCCCGCCAATCGATGCGGTTGAACTTCCTCAATATATTTCTTCGATTCCACCATATTCCTGAACCCATCAAAAGTCGAATATCTGACCAGCACAACGTAGTCCCACTTTTCACCCTTTGGCACGACAACATCGGCAATAGGAGTGCAGGCGAAGAAGGGCGCACTGTCGGGTGGCATGACTGGGCGTATGGCCTCAATATATCGGTCGCATGCTTCGCGGCCTGAACAAGGCTGTCCGGCGAATTTGGCGTGCTCGGGGAGATATTCTGCTTTCTCCTTGTATTTCCAAAGATTGAGAAGGTAGACTGGTTTGGATGTATCGAAGGTTTTCGAAGTCGCTTCGAGGTTGTCGTAGTTAATTGGTAAAACAGGCATTGTGGAAGTTGATCGGTGGCAAGGCGTCCCGGTGTGGTTTGTGTACCAATGTCAAATTGGAGTTTGCCCACATCTTTATAGATTTTATCGACTCCTCTCAAATGTTCAGAAAGTGTATGAAGTCAATATTCAATCGCGAGTAAAAATAATATTCAAGTTATGACTCAAATGCGCAAGAGCACTTGAGTGGACGGTGCATATACGGCCGCCGCTGTCTATTCCGCATTGGACTATGGTACCGTACAGGATGACTGCGGTCAGCGGAACTCCGCTGTCTATAAGAAAACATGTCAATAGAAGGGCGCAAGTCAGATGTAAAAAAAGGATTAGCTTTGACACCAGTTGGAAAACGAAAGGGCGCAATATTCACATGATATGTATACAAGATGGTTTCATGATAGCCTCACCAACACGTTCTCGAGTGTGAATAGGCCTGGAAAATTGATGATCACTACCTGTCGCTGATTGCAACCTATAAATCTTCGATAGAAGAATATATTAGCACGATTTAGCCAACGAAATAAGAAATCCTTATAGCATCATCTCGTCATTTGGACGAAGGTCGGGACACCCAGCGATGAAATGGCGGAAGGGAGCATTTCTAAACTACCTTGAAGATTTAGTGCCTTGCTCATTAGAATTCAACACCGCCTATGTCATTCCAAGTAAAAGGCTCTATTTGTAGTAGTTTTCCCTGGGTAATAAGCAGTTAGCTTCACTTGTTAATGCTGGTTGCAGTACCTTAAATACTCGAGGCGACGAAAGTGAGTGACCTCGAACCTCCTCCATCAAGCATTTAGTCGCGATCTTCACTAAAGAATAAATTAAGAATCGAAGCGATTTGATATCAGTAGGACTTGAAAATATTTGATTATGTAATTACAGCTCGGCCGCAAACTTCTAAACAGACGGAAGCGGATAGCTCGAGGAAGAAATATAGTGAATTTGATTCCACGGAAGGTAACTTTCCATTTGGCCACAATTGGTAAACTGGACTTGATTAATAGGATATTGGATCTTTGACAAATTGAAACCAGCTAGGTGGCTAATGACGGTGCCACGGGTGCTCTACCATGATTGTTCTCTAGATTCCCCGAGTTGCGGAACGCGGAACGCGGAACGCGGAAAGTAGTTGCGGATAAGTGCAGGGACGATTTACCTATTTTGCGGGGTTTGGGGTAATCGGACGCAACGATTTACCGACAGAATGAACCGCCTTGATCATTGTTCATTCAAAATTGAAGTACCTTGACGTAGACACCTGAATTATCTTGGTCTGATTGTATTTCATTGGCCAACACAATCCGACGCCCTTCGTTGGCGCGGTTGTTGACAACGGTCCTCGGTCGGATGTGCTCTTTGAACACTACTATAAGAGGGCAAGTAATTGGAATGCTCTATCACTGTATTGCCCCTCAAGCTTTCCAACCTTGAGTGCGTTGCCAACAGTGCCGTGAAGTCTTTTCTTGATTATCGAACACTATGCACTCTTCAGTATTCATATATGGCGCTGCCTTACTTCTCATCATCTACACCCTGCGCTGGGTGTGGCATCTTTTTACGTCGCCAACGCGAGCGATACCAGGACCATTTGTAGCCCGATTCACTCGTTTATGGTATTTCAAGCATGTCCGCTCCGGGTCTTTCCACCACGAAAACATTGCGCTCCATGAAAAGTATGGGCCAATATGCCGTGTAGCGCCAAACCTCTACTCAATATCGTCACCCGACAAGACTGTTTATGGCATTGGGTCAAAATTCCCGAAAGGTGACTGGTACCAGGGTTGGAAACATCCAAGTCCAGATAGATGGACACTCTTCCCAGAACAGAACATGAAACGACATGCCGAGACTCGGAAACGCTTCCAGAACTTGTACAGCATGAGCTCTCTACTCTCCTATGAGGGATACGTCGATGACTGTATCGACATATTTATCAACAAGCTCAAGCAATTTGCACGGTCAGGGCAGGTTGTAGACCTTGTTCACTGGTTCCAGTGTTACGCTTTCGATGTCATGGGAGAGATAACATACTCTGAGCGCTTTGGATTCCTGGACAACGGTGATGATATCGAAGGAACAATGGCTGCCCTTGACCGATCTATGCTTTACTCCACGCTCGTGGGCATCTTTCCCTACCTGCACCCATATTTATACGCAATAATGGAGAAACTTCCAGGAACGGGTGCTGCTGGTCGCACCTATCTCATGAAATTTGTTCAGAAGAAAATAAACGACCGGAACCTGGCGAAAAAGCAAGGTACACACGATATGCGGAGTAAATCGGCAGACAATGATGTGGCTCCACAAGATTTTCTCGATAAGCTTTCGGAAGCGCAACAGGTCAACCCTGAAAAAGTGACTCCTTACCATATTTTTATGATGGGATTAAGCAACATAATCGCCGGCTCGGATACTACGGCAGTTTCTCTTTGTAGTGTCTTCTTTCACCTGTTGACATCGCCATCGGCGCTTCAGAAACTGAGGCAAGAAATCGACCAGAAGTGCCCTCAGGGTCAGAGGGTCACGTTCAAGATCTCGCAAGACATGCCTTACTTGCAGGCTGTGATTAAGGAAGCACTTCGGCTACATCCCGCTACAGGACTACCTCTCTGGAGAGTTGTTCCTGAGGGTGGATTTCACATCGAAGAGTACTCTTTACCTGCGGGTACGAATATTGGTATCAACACATGGGTTGCGCATTACGATAAGAGGATTTACGGAGATGATGCTCATCTGTTCCGACCAGAACGATGGGAAGAGGCAAAGGAAAATGATAAGATGCGTTACCAAGCGATGGAAGCCAACTTCATGCCGGTAAAGTACCTCTCTCTTTCATATCCATCCCTGCTGACATGATATCTAGTTTGGCCTGGGTTCGAGAACCTGTCTAGGGCGTCACATTTCGACGTTAGAAATGTCAAAGCTCGTACCCGAGATTGTGAGAACGTTAGATTTGGACCTGACGATCTCGAAAGAGCAATGGAAAACAATCAACTATTGGTTTGTGAAGCCAGAGCGCTTACCGGTCACTGTGCGTGATCGTGACACGATGGACTCTGAAAAAGTGCTATAGCAAGTTGTATTTGTTATTCTGAAGAGAACTCACATTTATCATGTACATTGATTTCAACATTGGATATTTCAATGAACTAGCACAATGAAGTTGTATGATGTTGAATTTGTACGCTAATCGATAAGTTTAGTGTTACAATACCTGCTTCATTGTAACGTATACCTTCTAGTCAGATGCTGTTTGGTCTGCCATATTTTTGTCGGACGTACGTGTCTGATACAATTGGGAAGATACTGTCTCGAAGCTACATTCTTTCATCTGAACCATACTTCTGTCATGACAGAGAAGACGTACTCATCAGGAATCAGGGTAAAGCGTGCCTGGAAAATAATCGTCACTGCCTCCCAATTTTTTATTAGCTCATTGACCAATCCTACTACGTTTCGGTTCAATTCCTCCATTGTCGAGCTTTAAGTCAATGCACCAACCTGTCTTCAATGGGGAACATTTCAATTCCACCTCAGCTTACATCACGTTTGAGAGGTCGCTCTCGGCTGCTCGCAACGTCCTATCTCCAGCCATGTGATCAGTCTTATCCCAGTTCCCTTCTGACTGACCTGACGTCGAATACATCGCCAGCAGTGCTCCTGGGCCAACTGAGACTACGCCTGGGTTCTAAGTGCACCATCTCCCCCGCGGCTCAGTCAGCATCTACAATGCTGGCCCTCTGCCGCTCCTATGATCGAAATAGGCTAGTTCACCAATCCCACGGACGGGGAAGTCGCTGTCGCTGCCCTCAAGCGCGCCAGGGATGTCTGACTAGCATTTCCGAAATTCGATTGAGCGCGGAGATTTCTCCCGGAGCAGCTGTCAACACCGACGCTCAGATATTGGATTGGCCCGCAACGAAGCCATGCATAATGTGTTTGGTATGCAAGCGCTGCATGCGCCATGATCACTACCTAGCGATGACGGAGAACGTGGCTAGCACGCTCATGATAATTGTCACAACAACCACTCGGACTTCTCCCGGCATCAACACCTTTTTTGCAACAGGAGGTGCTAGTGTCTTAAGTGGAGAGTGGGGTGTGACGAGCCATGACTCGGTACGTCCAGACCGAACGGACCACGGAAGGTAGAAGGACCTGAGAAGAGTAACCAGGCACGCCACGGGAATCATCAGGAGGATTAAAGACAGTTTCGGGATATGTAAGTGCTACGAAGTATTGTATTTTTTCAAACATCGTGGCTTGTGAAGGTGGGAGTAGACTCAGTTTCATACGCCGGGGATCATGTGAGTCAACGATCTATCTCGCGGATAGATGCACCTTGAGATGCATCAAGAAGCGCATATGGTGATGAAGGCAGCTGCATCCTTGTCATTTCGGAACTCGTCTACTCAATTTATCGCTCGTGTTGGTTGATGGCGCTTAGAAGTCATACTGGCCGTTTTCGGAACGCTTCAACGGGTCGAATGCCACATTGGACTTGGGTTTGCTCTACAATAGCCACTGATCAACGGCCCGCGCTCTGTATTTTGGTGCCCGCTAGTTGCCGCTCGTGAGTAAATGGCACCATGATCGCTAGTTACCTTATCATCCTTGTTTTTCGCCTCACCATGGCATGATTGCGGAAGGTCCATGATGATATGGACTGTCGATGTTTGCCGACTTGTATATCATATCATTTCATCCGAGCTGGCCAGGCGAGACCCATATGTTGTCGTACATCAAAAGCGAGTGCAGGGCATACCAAGATTGTGGTATTACCCCTCTCCAGTCGCTCAGCAGCATAATGATTCCCAACTCCCAAATTAATGGTATGTATACGTGAAGAAAGCGGTAATCAATACATAGTATGAAGAGAACGTTGCGCGAGAGTAGAAAGAAAAGTTCAGAGAGGCATCGAAATCTCACAGCAAATATGTTAGCCGCGCTATTCTATATAGTTTTTATAACTGGCGCTTCGTTCCGAACTCCCCATCTCTGTTAGCATCGTTATGTCCTAGGAACGAAAAGAGAATAGATCCGTCCTGCACCGTGATCCTTTAGCTAAGCGATATAGTTCTAGGTTCAACGGTTATTGCAATGGTTCAATCCTGGCCTTGGAAAATGTTTCTATCAGTCTCAGCCTATTGCACGACCTGGACCACCTAACCGTGAAAGTCCCACTGTACGGCAGACTGTCACGAAAGCCTCCTCGGCAGACCGATACACTCATCTACGCACTCCTAACTACGACAATTCAGGTTCCGTCTCTTGATTCGAAACAAGACCATATCGATATAGTTAGCACATAACCTCTTGGCCTGATTGCATTCACACGATGGCTCAACTTTCGTTTGCAAAAGACGCCCTATCCACGAGCACCGACTACGCAGCTTGTAATCCTGTGCTAGGTCAGGTCTCTTCCGAGCTTGAGAATCAATTCCACAGAAGGAAGCTGCTCGCATCTCTTCGTGGGCAAACAATCAGGGTACCGGATCTCAAGCCTCTGTTTAGTCATTGGCCAACAAAGACAAATGACGGCATCGATCAGATGCGACAAGACATACATAAATGGCTAGATAGGTAAGTAAATTGACATTACCTGTACCTCTTTACTGGCCAATTGACAGCAGAAACGTATGCTGACCTAATGCATCATATAGTACTGTGGCTCCGGGAAACATGTTGGCTGGACTGCAGGCATCCGATTTTGGCCTGTTTGGCGCGACGTGGTGGCCATGTGCGCCTTTCGAAAGACTAAGAATCGTCACCTACCTAGCTGTCTGGCTCTTCACTTGGGATGATGGTAAGAACACCGATTTGCGATGATGCTTTACAGTTCAACTGAATGGTGCATTCGAATCTTACAGAAATCGATCTTTCTGATGGAACCATGTGGAATGAATTCGGTGCAGCGCAGAGCTACCGCGAGCAAACAATTGCCTACGTGCGCTATTCACTCGGAATTGATGTCGACAAACCAAGCATTGAAAATCGAATCATCCTCAATTTCGACCCAATAGGTGCTGCAGTGCGAGGTCGATACACCCTAGGTATGTCTTCATTGCCCGACCCTCAAACGCCAATGTTCCCTGATCCAATTGCCAGAACAACGCCACATGTTCCTCAAAGAGATGGAATTTTTCATGGAAATGTCAGAGAGGGAACAGATTCTTCGACTCTCCGGCGGTATAGCTTCGATGGAAGAGTTCTGGGAGTATCGCCTTGGGAGTAGCGCTGTGACCGTGTGTCTTGCGCTCAACGAATTTAGCTGGGATGGCATGGATCTACCTCTCCAATTCTATGCTGATGGGGATGTGAGAGCGCTCTTTAGGCACACAAACACTATCATCTCGGCAGTGAATGACCTTCTCTCGATTAAAAAGGAGATAGTGAGTTGCCCATCAAACGTTGGATATGTTGACGCGGGAGTTGCGGCTAAAATGCTACAGAAGCGGGACGCGATCGATAGCCTGATTCCCATCATTTACTTCCGCACGAACGACATTCAGACCGCCGTTCAGCAGGTGGTGGCTTTCATCGAGAATGAGATCAAGGACTTCGATGCGGCAGCTGCATCACTGATCAGAAAGTACTTGGACGCCGAGCCAGCCATTCAGAACCACGTACATAAATTTATTGATGGGTGCAAGTACTACTCAACTGGAAATCTTACCTGGAGCCTCGAGACAGACCGGTATGGAGTTGACCATGTGGAGGATCGGTCGGGAGATATTGTGATGATTCTGTAGATACAGCAGTTTATGAAAGAAGCTTCCGTACGAAGGGCGATGAATGAAAACAGCATTTAGATCATATCTATGCTGCATGAGGTGAAGTGTTCTCTAAATTGTTCTACAATGCAAACAAAAATTGATTTCAAGTAGAAGGGAGCTTGGCTAACCGTCGCTGAGAGTATGCTCACGACTTTCTTTACAATTTTGACTCTGCTAACTGGGCCTAGAATTCGCGTAATAGTGTGAATGTGCATCCTGTCAGATGGGCTGTAGTATAACGTTCTGGTCATAAGCACAAAGTGGGTACCTGGTAAGATTTTAATTAAGGACCGCCACCGAAGTGCGCGACAGTACGAGAGTGAGAAGTAACTAGGTAACCATGTACACAGTAAATTGATGACCTGGGGTAAGCACTTGTACCTACACCGCCCAACTTCCGAATTAGGTATCATTCAAATCCTCTCGTGGCACAGTCGACGCGTTGAGAACAACAACAAAACAGGATACAAAGCGACCATCCAGTCTTCCAGACGTGTCGTGAGCCCGACGTTCTTTCATCAGTTTGAATTGTTCTATCATAATCATGGCCGACTACATCATCGTTGGAGGGGGCACTGCTGGTTGCGTCGTGGCCTCGCGGCTACGGCAACGAATGCCAGAAGCCTCTATACTCCTCGTTGAGGCTGGGCCTGATGTGACTGGGCATGCATACATCGACACTCCGGCTGAAGCCGCTTTCTTGCACTTTTCCGAGCTCGATTGGAAGTATTTCACCGTTCCCCAAGTACATCTAGATGGCAAACCTCGGTACAACTGTGCTATGAAAGGTCTCTCAGGCGGCACTATAATTAACACTGGTAAGACTACAATACAAGGCATACCTATTCGGGAAATTCTCACCGTACTCCAGGTGGTTGGATTCGTGGTGACGCTCTAGATTATGATGAATGGGCTCGAGAGGTCGGCGACGACCGTTGGAGCTACAAGGGCCTTCTACCATATTTTAAGCGATCTGAGAAGCATTTCGATCCAAATGCTGACCATGAACAACACGGATTCGACGGCCCAATCCATACAGCTTCCGTCAGTGCATCTGGTCGAAAATTTCCATTGCGTGATCACGTTTTTAAACTTTGGTCCCATCTAGGTCTGAAACGTATCCCGGATGCGAACAATGGCCACCCGCAGGGAATTACTGACTTGGTAGAGAATTGGCGGGACGGAAAACGACAAATTGCCAGCGCGGTATACTCTTTGGATGGGGTCGAGGTTCTTACAGATACCCTTGTACGTCGGATCATCATCAATGATGATAAAGTTGCCGTTGGTGTTGAGCTGGCGAATGGAGAGTCTCGCCTGGCAAGCCCTATTGGCCAAGTTATCATCTCTGCCGGAGCCTATCGTACACCTCAGGTCCTGCAGCTATCGGGCATTGGTGACGCACGAAATCTATCTGAACATGGGATTACTGCAGTGGTCGACCTTCCCGAAGTGGGTAAGAACCTGCATGACCACACAATGATCTTCCGTTACTGGAAGCTTCGCAATCCAGAGAACGGTTATGCATTAGGATCACCACTTTTTGGTGGTCCCAATTATGAGAAAGGTGGGCCAGTCGACTGGCTCGTCACAGCACCCATTTCGCATGATACTTTGAAAGCAGCGATCGAGAAAGATGTCGGCGAACCGGTCTCCGACGACCACCCATTATTGAAAGGTCCTCGAAGTCATTTAGAGATGAACCTGCTGTACGCTGTATTTGGAGCCGAGGCGATTGGGCTCCAAATCCCCATAGACGGGAAATCAATTATGACCTACTATATGGGATGCCTTCCCACATCTCGAGGATCGGTTACTTTAGGCTCGAGCGATCCGACTGTTCAGCCCGTCATTGATCCTAATTACCATGCCACCGAAGCAGACCGACACGTGATGCGAGAAGGGTTCCGTATGCACTCAAAACTGATGTTTGAAACGCCAGAAGGTAAAGAGTTGGTCGCAGAGGAGTATCTTCCCGAAGGATTTCCATCTCTTGGTCCAGATGCATCTGATGAAGCTATCGACAAGCGCATCAAGCTTGGGGCGTCAACTGTGTTCCATCCAGGAGGTACAGCAGCAATGGGCAAGGTTGTTGATGGATCGCTTAAGGTCAAAGGAGTGAAGAACCTCCGGGTGGTTGATGCCAGTATTGTGAGTACCATTCTTGGAAATAAGCCAAAAGTGCATTGAAGCTCGATCCACCGAACTGTGTCTAACACCGACAGATCCCTCAACCTTTGGCATCACACTACCAGGCTGCTGTATACGCTATCGCTGAACAGGCTGCCGATATTATACTGAGCGAAGTATTCTAAAAGGGATACGCAGTTATCACACGGCGAATGTATGATCTTACACTAATTAATCGCTCATGCAATATTCGTTAGCACCCCGGTCGTATTTGCGCATACACAAACTCGACGTGAGGATTACGAGTTAATATTTCGAAGCAGGTCTCGCCTCAGTCACGGCGTAGAAATTATGCAGCGTTGGATTCTTCGATTCTGGCGGTATGGTTTCTAGGTAAGCAATGATATTGGGGTATCTTACTCTTCTAATTGCAATAAATCAACAATGTGGTCGCAATTTCCATAGGTTATGCATGCTAAACATTATTCCCCGTTGTAACGTTCGTCTTGAAGCCAGATTCTCCTACGTCGCGACTCCAGTCGCTCTGCCCGTCCTCTTCATCACGAGGCCGTGAGCTCACATTGATCGTCTGTTCAATCATCACTATCCCGTCTGAGATATCGCCCGTACCATTGTCTGTTAGATTGACCTGTGATGATCCTGATGCAGACCTTTCTATATCCACGAAATCTGTATCGGACCGACCTGTGCTTTTTGATCCGGTCTTCGACCGCAGTTGGGACGTGCCATGGCCGTAGGTGTTCTTCGTAGGTCGCGATTGTCCATAAGATGTCATATCTGATACGTATCCTCCCGAGCGCCAGAAACTACGTTTGAACATGGGCCGCAAAATCGGGAGGTTGACGGTTAAGATACCAACAATAGTTTCGCGCACACCCCAACGATTGATGTTCAGACCAGAAGGTGTCGACCCCAGTGTGAGGACGGCGCGAACGATCGCAGCTGTGATGACGAAAAGACCGGAGCATATCAGAAGACCAATGGCGATCTTCTTCGTAAGCTTGATGCGTAGCCTCCAGAGCATTGGAATGGGGATGGCTAGGATTATCGCGTCCGTAATGACATTGAGAACGGCGCCGACATAGAAATTCTGCGGTTTGAATGTGCAAGCGCGCGGTGGAAGCGGGCGCACTTGCCAGTTCATCGCTATACTATACGTTGGAGCCCTTGCGTCAGTATCGATTCGCTTCGCGTTCAGACCTTTGCTAACTACAGACTTACGGGTGGCACCCAAAGGTGATTGTCAGGAAGACTGCCACATATGTGATCCCACACATCCAGAAACAATACCGCACAAGACGAGATTCGAATGTCGCAATGGTTAAACGCTGGTAGAAGAATAATAACATGAACTTCATGCACCCTAAGCCTCAGTCGTTGGTAAAATTGTTCTTAACCTCTTCCGCGCAGCCGAGCAAGACTTACAAATTAATCCAGTATAAGTGTACCAGGCAGCTATCTGAGCTTTCGACCCTTCCTTCACTGCTTTGATCTCAGAATCCGTAAGCAAGTCTACGACGGACGGTTCGACGTCGACATTTGTGCCTTTGTGGTCTTGGGGAGCAAAATTAGTGGAATCCAATATTGCAAGGCATTCTCCTACTCACAGCAAATATCAACAAGAATGGCATCCGCTGTGTAAAGGGCCAGACTCTGCAACGTTTTAACGACAATGTCAGGGTGGTGCTATTGTGAAAACGTACCAGAATAGCGATATAATCGTCTCCTTGGAATCCACGGAATCCAACGGCTCGAATTCGCACAATGTAGCGCAAGAGTATCACTGTGACACCAACGGCAAACCAGGACTGTTACTGAGTAAACACGGGAACGTCTGAAGATTATAATGTGGAAAATGTACCCAAACCTCCGGTAAAAAGCTTGAATCACTGGCCAGTACAATATGGGGGTCATCGCTCATATCGATGTGACACCGCGCCAAAGGCCTGTACGGAAAGGCCGAGTTATGGTAGCCACTGTGTTGGAGTTGGAGAATAATGCGAGAAATGTGTAAAGTGGAACGAACAGGTTTGAAGCTGGGGGAAGAATACGGCGTAGCAATGCATTCTGTACTTTGATAGAAAGACCTCGCAAATCACGATCAGGAGCAACTAAAGCGTTAGCTGCGTTCGATGAGTGCGGATATGACGAATACCTAGCCGGTGAATCGCGCGTCGCGAAAGTCTATTCTTTGGTGCCAGTGAACTCGTTTCGGGCGTCGCTAACTAGCTCGATGATTGGAGGCTTTGATAGTCACATTAGTGCACATCTGAGTGCTGGTACCCGTCGATAGCCCCCTATAGGAATAGTAATGAGACCAACCAATAAAACAAGACATGAGAGCATACCAGGCCGGTAGAGTTTCCTGATTTCACCATAAGGTCGAACCTGGGACGATCGCAGCTGAACATGCCTCGTATATGATCGTTGTGGCATTCAACAATGGGAATTTTACCTGAAATCGAGGAAAGACTGATACAGAGATTACACACTAGCCCAGTTACAAGTATGATACCCTCGTACCTTCGAAACGTAGGTATCGTGTAAGAAAGTTCTATTACTGAGTGGCATGAAATGAATGATGTTTCTAGGGGATCTGGAAGATCGGGGCTAGCATTTCGATCCACCTCTAGCGGACAACGGAAGCCGCTCCGGATACGATTCACATGGCCGCTACTGACTGACGCAATGAATCATCCTCGCTGATCCACGAGTATCTGGGGAAGGAGTTGTCGGAACGGAAAGTAACGCCCGGGTCATCCTTTTCGATCGGTATAGCTACCTCGTACCCGAGCGATTCAACTTCCTCTGACGTATAACTCGAGAACGCTATTCGAGGCTCTTTTTGATGTGTCTCGATGAGATCCAAGGTGATTTGGAGACGACCGTAGAACATGCAAGTTTGAACAATAAGAAGCCGTCCCTGTAAGTTGTGTTTTATCGTCCTTCATGTTTTAGTGAAAGTTTAAGGTTGCCTTATTGATGCATAGTTCACCTAGGCGGGCTTTGTGGCTTGCCAGGCAGTCGAATGTGTGTTCGCATGAGGAAATTTACTAGAAGAATTCACAGTTGTTCGATTTCCTATTTCACTAGCACCACTTCTGCGGGCCCGCCACCCCTGGGTACCTGGTCTCGATAGAAAATTAACGTCCAGCTTCTAGTCAGCTTCTAGAGGGCATAAATGGCCCGTGGGAAGGCATCACGCGAATTCTTCAATAAAATGAGGCCATTGCCTCATGTGAAGTTGCTGGCTGATGCTTCAGCATGGTCAAGCTATCGTTTCAGTGCTTTACCTTATTGGTAAGAACGAGCAATCATACCATGAGCTCAATTTACGATAAACAATACTGACAAGTTATGCATGCAGTACACGCAAAACCTCTAGTCCATTGAGACGAATCCTTCTCATTGTCAGATGTACTTGATTATCTACAGGAAACCCTGAGTGTTTGTTGTGGGGCAGCTGGTGAACGATACGATCAGGTGTCAGGGTCACACTAATGGCATTTGGTCCAACCTAGGCCCTTCATGTACATCAATAGCAACAATATGTGTAGCATGATCGGTTCGTCAATTCTCGACATTTTTCTACATGGGTAACATACAGGCACTTCATCTACATATACGTATCAGCTCATAAGGTTGTATGCACGGTATTGGTCGGAAAGAGAAGCCGTTCCGGGTCCCGGGGCACCCGATTGGTTCATTGTTCCAAGTGATCTGGAACTTCTCAGGCCATTTTCATACACGTGACCTGTGTTCCCCCCGCCACCTTCTGTTTGAAGTGGACAGAGATGGATCAATTGCAGACATCCCATTCACACAATGGTCCTTCCACATAATCTCTACAAAAGCGATTGCTTCTATCTTCCGCAAGGCTTTTGCTGCCAATATGTCCAGGGATTCGAGGCCCCTGCCGATACTGTTACCAAACATTGCGGGGCGTGGAAGAGGAGTCTCAAGAGAGCCTCCACCACCACCGACAAATAAGCATCCTCAGAAAGAAAGAAAACGGATAGCTGTTGCGTGCGAAGCTTGTCGCATGCGCAAAACAAAGGTATTTGGCAAACTGCCGCGGTACAACGTATGCTTACCTCAACGACGTAGTGCGACGGTAGACAACCAAAATGTAATAAATGTGATGAACGCCGAAGCACATGTATCTATGCTGAGGTCATTCCCATGAAGGTTGATCTCTCCAAAAAGCCTTCTATCTCCCTCTAACGCCTGCTTAGCGAAAGTATGAGGAACTGGAACGCCAGAGGTCAGCCCACGAGGAGCTCTTCGAGATGCTGAGATCCATGTCAGAACAAGAATCGTACAGCGTGCTTCAACGGATTAGGGCCGGCGCCAATCCAGAATCAATCCTTAATCAAATCAGAGACGGTAACCTCCTTATGCAGCTGGCTCTGGTACCAGAACATAGGTCCCGATACGAATTCCCATATATGCGCGCAATGCCAGAATTCTTGCTGCAGTCTGAAAATATTTATACTGACACGCTAGTTTATGAGTTTTCGTTCGCCAAAGCTAACTATCCTGGTGGTCAAGAACTTCAGTCTGGTGTTCAAAACTCCCATGCAAGCCTCTATATGACGCCGTATCATTCGGCAAAATTGGTAGATCCGAACCTAGACCACGCTAGACCATCTGAATGGACTTCGGTCTGTTCCAATAACCATTTGATGCGCAGGCTCATTGGGGACCTTTTTCTTTCGGAATATCATATGGGCTCATTCTTTCACAAAGATTACTTTCTTCAGGATATGGCTGCAGGTCGACATCAATGTTGTTCTTCACTCTTGGTTAACGCCGTGTTGGCGTGGGCTTGTGTAAGTCTTGCCGTTGACGATCCTTTTCATTTGCCTGACTATGCCAGCAGTTCTGTGATCAGGAGAACCCATGTAGGGCTGAGTTCTGGAACCCAGACAACTTAGGTTATCGTTTTCTGGCCGAGGCTCGGCGATTATGGGAGTTGGAGGTTATTCAGCCTCAGCTTACCACTATTCACGCTGCACTTATTTTGAATGTTGTTTACAATATGAATGGAGCGGACAAGCTTGGGTATCGCTACAACGCGCAAGCAGTAGCAATGGCCAATGAGCTTGAGATATTCTCTCCATCTACTGGGATAAGTAAAAGAGAGCAAGACGCCCGAGACTTTACTGCTTGGTTTCTGTATGCATATCAAGGGTATGTCAATTAATTCACGATTCTCTGTCACTTCATCTAACCTAGCGACAGGCCCAATAGCTACATGATGCATAAGCCTCCCTTATGCCCAGTTCCCCCCAAAGCACCCTTACCAGACCCATCGGAACGGCCGGATTGGTATAGTGAGATTCGGTTCAAATTTCCTTCATCTTCAGCCGTGTTCTCTTCTCACTTCGGATATTTTCTGAGGGCAAGAATACAGTTATGGGCCATTGCCATAGATATGGCGTCTGAGTTCTTCACCGATGAGAACAATCACTACCGCCCATCATCCCCTCAGGTTCTAGCTTACTGCGCAAGGTTGTTGGAATGGTACACTGATTTACCGGAGCCTATGCAGCCAAGGAGAATTGTTACTCCCTACCAACTCCAACTCCAGTAGGTGACATCCACACGTCTCCAGTAGACTTCGTTTGTTAACAAAGACAACAGCATGCAATACCATAATTTCATTATCAACCTTCTTGAAGAGCCAATGGCAACCACCCTAAGCCTTCCGGAGCATATGACCGAAACGTTGCATATATTGAAGCAACAGCCCAAAGATATGCTTCTCGAATCAAAACGCTCTATGGAGATACTCGTGCGTCTGTACTACCTTCGTCACGGATTCAAAGCGAACAACGCGATGATGGTCCAGTACCTCAGTCTCCTTGCCTTTAGCACCTTTGCCGCCATCCAGGCTGATACTCATCCGACATATCTCCAATCCTTACGATCCACTATAATCTTGGCTGCCATGGGCCTCCGCGACCAAAGCCATTCTCACTACCTCGGCCAGCTAGTATTCAACGCTGTCCGCGGGAATATGGGAGCCGAGGAAATCGAACTGATTGATCGATTCATAGGGCAAGGCCGAGGCGTAGCAAAACTACCACCGAAAGACTGGCGGATGCAAACGATCTGGGCGGTAGATTCCGGGAGTATAACTGCGGAGAAGCGTTTATTGAGTGACCTGATAAAGCCTGACGGTGACGAAGGCCCAAATTCAAGAGTGCAACATGACTAATAGAAGGATACTCGAGATAGGTGCGCGCATGTGCGTTAAAAGATATGATTTTTTTTTAAATTACTACCAACGCCATCGTTCTATACTACGACTAACTAGCATACGTGACGCTTACGCAGTCTTTATGAGTATCGGACCAACTTGGTTAGGACAATCACCATTTCTTGAGGCCCGAGATTGGGTTTGAGCCGTCATGACAAGGCTTAGGTTGCTGCGATGTATAATTCTGGATGCCCCAACTAATCGCATCTGACTTCGCGCATGCAAAGCAGCGAAGCCACATCAGACGTGCAGGCCCAACATCAACATTCCTTTCCAGTTTCTTCAACACCAAGCCCGCTCATAGAAAGTATATGAAGTCCTTCGATTGTATCCGCAAGAATTGCTGCCCAATGCTCTGGACTCCCTGCGCTTCGGCACGATCGATTTGGTGAAGAAGGCGCTCTCTACTACAGGCGTTGAAAGGCTGAGCCAGCCGCCTTCTCTAGATTTCCTGTCATCTCTTATAAGACCAGATTGTGATAATAGAAGAAGGTGTGTGGTTGCAATTGTGTTTGCACGTGGTTTTGAGTCATCTTTTGCCAAGCCAAATGGCTACCTTTGACTTCCTAGAGACTACAACTCATTTCTATGCCCATGCTTCCCCACTGATCTCCCTCTCCGCGCTCTCTCCTATAAACTCAATCCGCAATTTTCTTCCCGTAGTGCTGGAAGTAACGTTTGCACTTTCGAAACTCCCACAGACAACTTCACAACACACAGACGCGAATCTTGACTACGACTCCAAAGGCACGTTTACGACGGCAAGAGCCACGCCATCGGGGGCCGCAGCAAGACCGACCTTACTGAGGGAAAATGTCTTCAGGCCGTGATATCAGTGAGAAGGGCACAGAGGAGAAGGTCAAGTCCGAGAGGGAGCTAGAGAAAGAGCGGAAAAAGGCAGAAAAGGATGCCAAGTTCAAGGCGAAAATGGCAGCGCAAGCCAAATTAAGCGGCGGAAAGGCGGTTCGCGAGGGCGGAGAGAAGGAGAAGAGGAAGAATAAAGCCGACGAAGAACAACTCGGCGAGTATATCGAGGAGATCAAGAAGGGCGAGAAGAAGATCCTCAAGCCGATGGACGACAGTCCCTTTACCAAAGCGTACGTGCCCAAGGTTGTCGAATCTGCTTGGAACGACTGGTGGGACAAGAAAGGCTTCTTCAAACCTGAGTACAATGTCGAACATCGCGGCGAGCTTGCTATGGAAAAGGGCAGCTTCACGATACCCATGCCCCCACCCAACGTCACCGGAAAACTTCACTGCGGCCACGCACTGGCCACCGCGCTTCAGGACATCCTTATCCGATGGCATCGCATGCAAGGCTATCAAACCTTGTATCTTCCTGGTTGCGATCATGCTGGTATTTCCACTCAATCCGTTGTGGAAAATATGCTCTGGCGCCGTCAGAAGAAGACTCGGCATGACCTTGGTAGGCCAAAATTCCTAGAGACGGTGATGGAGTGGAAGAACGATCATCACGACTGGATTGTCTCTGTGTTAAAGCGCATGGGCGGATCATTTGACTGGACGAGGGAAGCCTTTACAATGGATGAGAATTTGTCGGCTGCAGTCACAGAGACGTTTGTCAGGTTACACGAGAAGGGACTGATCTATCGTTCGAACCGGTTGGTTAATTGGTGCACGCAGTTGAACACTGCCTTATCGAATTTGGAAGTCGACAACAAGGAAATTCCTGGCCGTACTTTGCTCGATGTTCCTGGTTATGACCGCAAGGTCGAGTTTGGTGTTCTCACGTCTTTCAAATACCCTATTAACGGCAAAGAGGGCGAGTTCATCGTTGTAGCAACAACCCGGCCGGAAACAATGCTTGGTGACACTGCAATTGCTGTCCACCCAAACGACAGTAGATACAAGGGCCTTGTCGACACCGGTGCTATGGCGAAACACCCTTTTCTTGATAGGCTTCTACCCATTATTGCCGATGACTACGTTGACCCTGGATTTGGTACAGGTGCCGTCAAGATTACACCTGCTCACGATCCCAATGATTTCGCCATTGGAAAGCGCCACAACCTTGGCTTTATCAATATTCTAACGGACGACGGCCACTTGAATCATAACGCTGGTCCATTCAAAGGCCAGAAGCGCTTTGACGCACGATACTCTGTCATTGATAGACTCAATGAATTAGGACTCTTTGTCAAGCAGGAGGATAACGCGATGAAAGTTCCTCTATGCAGCAAATCCAAAGACGTTATCGAACCACTCCAGAAGCCGCAATGGTGGATGAAAATAAAGGAGCTAAGCGAGCCCGCAATCCAAGTTGTTAAGGACGGCAAAATCAAGATTCGGCCGGAAACCTCTGAGCGCGTGTACTACCACTGGATGGAGAACATCAACGACTGGTGTCTGTCTCGACAGCTCTGGTGGGGCCATCAAATCCCAGCTTATTTTGTGAAGATCGAGGGCAAGCACGATGATTCTTCTGACAACGATTCTTCCAACAATGAACTTTGGGTCACCGGACGTACTTTGGAAGAAGCTACTGAAAAGGCCAAGATTAAGTTCAAAGGCAAGAACTTCACTCTGGTGCAGGATGAGGACGTCCTTGACACTTGGTTTAGCTCAGGCCTGTGGCCTTTTAGCACTCTTGGGTGGCCAAAGGAAACAAATGATTTGAAAGAGTTATTCCCTACTTCTGTTCTAGAAACAGGCTGGGATATCCTGCCATTTTGGGTTGCGCGAATGATTATGCTTAGCTTGAAATTGACAGGAAAAATCCCGTTCAAGGAAGTGTACTGTCACTCCTTGATCCGTGATTCGGAAGGTCGCAAGATGAGCAAATCGCTTGGCAACGTCGTCGATCCTATCGATATCATGACTGGTATCGGCCTTCAGCAACTCAAGGACAAGCTACTTATGGGAAACCTAGATCCCAAAGAGCTGAAAACTGCGGAGAGGTATCAGAATACTGCATTTCCGCAAGGTATTCCGGAGTGTGGTGCAGACGCGCTGCGCATGGCTCTCTGTGGCTACACTACCGGTGGTGGGGACATTTCGTTTGATGTCAGTGTCATCCACGGTTATCGCAAGTTTTGCAACAAAATCTATCAAGCGACAAAGTATGTTCTTGGAGGTTAGGCGATTTTACACCGAGGACAAGGGTTCAAAAGACAGGCAAAGAAACCTTGCCTGAGCGGTGGATCTTGCACAAACTGGCAAAAGCCTCGAAAGACATGAGCGAGCACTTGGCTTCACGGGATTTCTCCCTAGCCACACAGGTCGGCTACAAATATTTCTTGAACAATCTCTGCGATGTCTTTATCGAGAATTCAAAGGCAATCCTAGACGATAGCAGTGCTGAACACAAGGAGGGTACAAAGCAGACCTTATACACTGCTCTGGAAGGTGGTCTCCTCTTACTTCACCCTTTTATGCCCTTCTTAACCGAGGAGCTATTCCAGCGTCTTCCTCGACGTCAAGGCGATAAGACGCCGTCAATCACTGTTGCCGACTTCCCGGACTTTGATATCCTCCAGGTCTTCTACGATCTAGGGGCTGAGAAAGAGTATGAATTGCTCGTTGATATCTCCAAAGGCCTCCGTTCTCTCACAGCTGAGTATGGTATCAAGCGCTCGGCGCAAACATTTATCCACCCGTTGGATGATGCTACTCACAAAATACTTCAAACCTCAACCTCCCGGCTTTCAATACTCTCTCTCGGCGGCAAGAATATCGGATCTCTCACTATTCTTGCACCTGCTGATCCTGCGCCTACTGATTCTGCGGTCTACATCATTGGCACATCAGCAACTGTGTATCTTAATGTTGAAGGCCAAATTGATATTGATAAAGAGATTACAAAAGCGAAGGCTCGACGTAATAAAGCAAATGAGACAATTAGGAAGCAACTCAAGATTATGGACCCGAGTTGGGAGGCGAAGGCCAGCGAGCTTGTCAAAGACGCAGAACTGGAGAAGCTACGCGCGGCAGAGCTTGAAAGCGGCAATTTCGAAAAGACCATTGCGCAGTTTGAGAAGATGAAGATGACGTAGAGTTTTGGGGAGGAGCATGCGGGAGAACGTGATTGGGATTAGTAGGCCTGGCTTCATGATCGCTATCGCCGCAAGGTATCTTACTGGTTAAGATGACATTGCCGTGGTAAGATCCAATATATCTGCTCACCTCTTACCCATGGTCGGGCAGTCCCTTGCAAACTAGAAAGTCTTCTTCTATCTGCGGAGTTCTAGGTTGTAGCATGTTGGATCAAACTCTTTACTTTCATAGGCGTCCTGCGAATATACTCTGACAATGTGTGAATGTATTCTGATATAGCAGTATTGGCTCTTAATATCGGTGAAACGGTTTCCAACTTTAAGTATAGTCGGTTGATAAGAAGATTTAGTAGAGTACGGAGGGACCGATTAAATAATGTAATTCTTTTCAAAATTGCCTCAACTACACGCTCCCCTTGCCGTATCTATTACTCCTAGATTTGTTTCTCGTCTCGCGGCGTAATTTCAAATACTGACTAGACTCCACGCAAGCCCACGCTGGACCCATCACGATATCCCTCCGGTTGTTCGGAACTCGTCTTCGACAGCTCTGCCTTGGAGATCGTTGCCTGAGTGGGACTGGACAGTGAGACCAGAAGATTACGAGTGGAGTTCATGATGCTGCCGAGCATCCTAGAATTAGAAAGGTCTCTCAGGAGAGGACCTAGTGTCATGAGGGTTGCTGCAATTATTCCGAACTGTGACTCAACAAGTCCCCAGACTGATATTGACGTAATGATTGCTGTTCATGCTTAGTAAAACCAAGTCTTGAATTTGATTTTGCTAACTTACTAGCATAGTCCATGGAGCTCTTCTTCAGTGCGCTTGAAATGTATATGTACGCTTTGGCTACGCTACCACCTACGGACCTTCGAACAGTTAGCATCACGCGCTACAGAGCAATAAGGGGTTACTAACAAAAGACCTATAGTAAATACTCCCATGACTGCAAGCTTTTGCTTTAAGGGTAATTGTAGCCCAAAAACCTATCATTTTGAGAGATAAGTATTCTGCGAGACACCGGAAACGGTGAAGTGCGACCTACCATAGGCAATGGAATCAGAACCGTTAGAAAGTCCGTTACTGTGCCTCCTATCACGATAGCATATCCAATCTTTGTTCCCGACAAGCATTGGCTTTTCTCCACGGATAAGGGAATAGATGGCCATAGGCCATGATTTCCGCAGAACGTAAGCATCAAAATAGTGAAGCCAATTGTCCACAGGACCATCAATACTAGCCAGGGAACAATGATGTATCGGTACTTGACCGAGAATATCTGTAGGTAAAAAAAGGATACCGAGATTTTGATGAGCCCAGTCACTACAACACCATTAAGGAAGACGGCCCATTGGTACTTCTCTGATCTTAGTAATGAAAGCGCTTGACAAGTTGAGCATACATACCCATCTTAAATTTAATGCTGTAGATTGTCGAAAGGTTGGCGATCCAATGGATCCGTGTACAGGAACACCCAGCCTACCAACAGCGCTTCCTGTTGAAGGTCAGCTCCAATAAAAACTCTCAGCCGCTGCGAAATTTTACCATATATTTGAATAATAGATAAGCCGGTTGACAGGAAAGCGGCCAAGAGGATTAGCCAATCCGATGGATGGTATTTGCGACCATGCTTGTGGCGTGTTTGGAATCTCAATGCGACAACAACATAAACGATTGTTTGTACAATAGCTGCCGCAGCAATAAGTCCTGGTGGATTGTCATAGGCCATGAGATGAAATGGCGATTGGTAGCTCAAGTTTTGAGAAAATTTCAGTGCGCTATAAAGCAGAAACAGAATCTGTAGGATAGTCTGCCATTCGAAGACATGTCGACTTATGTTTGATTCTGTGGCAACGCCATGGCTTAATCTTCACGCTGTTGCGCTCAAACATGGCTATGCAAGAATTGTCGATCGTGATGGCGATGATAAAAGATGCCGGACATCGACACTCTATAACCCCAGCTTTCGGAAGGTCGTACAGCAGCGGGAATGCAGGGCGTTCCTACCGACCTGCAACTTAGTCCCCGAGACTGGCTGACTGGGAACCCAGACCCCGCACGAACATACAGACATCTTCCGGCTAATAACCAAAGGGGAGCAATCGTGGCCTTGTCCAAACAAAACAGCAGGCATAATAATTCTACCTGGGAACTGCGATACCAACGATCCAGAGGAATATGCTGGATTGCTGATTTACATTATCTAGGTAGCCTGGCCTGGTCAGGTTCTAATTCTTTAACACCATATCAGGGATGGCTGATTCGCGCAAGGATTTAGGAAGCGTGCGAAACGCCAGCGACGACATTGTGCAGGAATCAGGGGCTTTAGGGAAGGTGACAATCTGCATCATATATCGTTTGCCTTCTTTTAATCTACAAGACATACTCGTTGTCGCGCTCGCTACCACCATAGGATTCTCGTAGACCGACGTACTGAATAATGTCTCACCTGCCTTCCTGCACATCGCTCCAATGTCATATTGCTGAACTGAACTGCATGGCATACGAAAGCTAGAACATAGATGGAGTATGCTCTGCCTTTGCGATTTTACGGGCGATCTAGGGAAGTGCAGCCAGTCTTGCTATGAGATATTAGATATGTACGGATTTGTCGTTGCGCATAGCAGCTCGCAATAAATGTTCCGCCCAATGGGTTTCAGATGTGCGTACATGACGTCCATTTATCTAGGTGCAAATATCACAGTTGCCATGGGGTGGGGATTGAACTTTTCAGAGAATAGACATGTGAGATTATAATATATTCTCACCTGCAAACTTAGCATCTCAGAAGATTCCGTGTCCTCCACTGTCACCCATTATATATCATCAAATTAGGATGAAATTGAGAAGAACCTGTAAGAGCAGATGTATATTAGACAATCATATGGCACAACTATGCACCATACGGGTACATTAATCTCGTGATTTAAACATCACATGTAGTATCATCCTAGCTGTTTGAATCCACCAACCAATGGACGAGCCTCATCCATCCGTCGAGACAACCTTTGCTCCCCAATTCATTTAGACGGATCGCGCTCAATTGGAACGGCATTGATTTCAGCAATCGCTGCCTCGTTCAAGTCTGCTTCTGGGGCAATAGTTAGAGACTGGATTGTAGGGAAAGGTAGGGTAAAGACCTCGGGGAAGGATTGGGTTTGCGAACACTGCTGCAGCAGAGGCGAGGAGAAGAAGGAACTTGAAGGAAGCCATTTTGTGATAATAGGCAGGTAAGGTGTATCAGTATGACTCAAGCTGGAACTTTTGGAGCTGGATATTGTATAGTGGATAAAGAACGAAGTCGAGGATCCGTACATTTAAATATTCGACAATTATGGACCTCTGGGGGCAAACCTACGTATGCCGAGCGAGGTTCGTGCAATAACATCCAACATATCATCAGAGCCCAAAAAGCAAGCTTGAACAAATCCGAACATTGGAAGAATTTGACGACTGTGCATCGGCTGTCTCCAACAATGAGGTAGTGTATATCAATCAATGAATCCTTACCATCTTCCTCGATCATCGGATCTTAAACTTGCGATAGTAACAGGATAGCCGGTAATCTCGGGGAAAGAGCAATAAAACATGCATATGCATATAGTATACTGATTACTCCCCTGTAAGAGATATGCACAATCCTGTGCCGGACATCAAGATGCTGCAGCTGAATACGGCCTACTAGCCAAAACAATGTCACAATGCGACCAGTATCTACCTTGAAAAAGGAGGCGACCAGTTTCCTCAAAGACGTCATCCCAAACTGTATTTCAATTCAAGGAGTTAGATCCTTGTCATATTCTCTCGAGCGATGGGAGAAAGGACTTCAGTGGCAAGTAATACTTGTTATGGCCTATACAATCTAAAAGTGTCGAGAAATCTAGGCCCCAAATACTCTGTTGTTGACATAGCTGGGCAATTCGTCATGCATCAAGTATGACGAAATCGTACATTTATATTCAAAACACGCTGTCATCTCAGGTAGAATAAGGACAGTGGTTGTGTAGGCGCGTGCACTATGTAAATATGGAGACGTCCCAATCCTGTGATATACTATCGTCGTTGCTTATGATTAATCAACAAAGAATCTTTTCACTCTACCAAAAGCCTTCTGATCCAGGCATCACACACTTTGACCTAAACAATGAAAGAGCAGCCTGACGAGCGCTTGTTGCTCGACGAGGAGGATGCGCTGTATGCGATCTGGAAAGATCGACATGCGTCGTCGTCTCTACGAATTGTGAACACAACTTTCCTGGCATTGCTCATGAGATTTTTAATTCATCTTTGCTATGCAATTATTATTCTACTCATATTGATGCTTACCTGCCCGCAATTTCTTTTAAGCTGCCTTCAAAATATTCCAGGTAGCCACATTGAGTACCCATACAAACACTGTAAGTCACCCATAGTAGATCGAAAGAAGTAACTAACTTTTGAAGTTCCTCTACGCTCTGAAGTTCAATGGACAACGCATCCCGGTGACCCAGATTATTGGTCAAATACGCTCTACATGGGTGAAGCATCAGTTGAGAGTGATTTGGCATGGAACAAGCTCATAAGACGTACGGTTGTGCTTTCTAAAAATGTAATCCACTGACATGAATCATAGGGCACGGATTCCGAGCTTTCCAGAAAGAAGCCGAGCAATTGAATCTAACAAGCAGCCTTCCTCTCAAAGAAGGGGGAGTGTCTGCAAGTTTAGGCGTCGACCACAACCTTCACTGCTTGGTAAGATGGGCAAAGGTGTTTTTCAAATACCCCTACTAATAATTTCAATGCAGCGCCATTTCAAGCAGTGGTACTTTCGGGACTACTACTACAGAAACAAAACCGTTGAAGACCTAGCTTGGCTCGAGGGTCACACCTGTGCGTATCTCACAAAGAACATATCTGTATTCATTTATATCTAGCTAAACATTCCAAGTGCACTGCTTGGAGACTTTGAGAAAATCGGTGATGTGCTTCCCTGATCTGAATCTCAGTCCCTACTATATGGTACCTGAGCAGCCTCATCATCCGACTCATATTAGCACATGGGGGAAAAGGCAGTGTGTGGATTATGACATGCTGAATAACGCCCTGAATAGGAGACGGTATTCTCGGTCGGAATACGGCGAAGATGTCAATCGTTTACTTGACGCAGCTAATCGTGATTAGTTCGTCGAGCTCGCAAATACAGTAGGGTGCGAGAACAGGAGGAACAAAAGCGTATCCAAGGGAGTAGCTTTTGAGATTATTAGGCCATAGCGAAAATTCGTTCCACTCTCGAAAACGTAGTTTGATAGGATAGGTAGTTCACTGATGAAATCTGCAATAATTGTCGCACAGCTTTCTCCATTCTTTGGTACTCTGTGAGAAATCCAACCCCAATGCTACGTGCATCTGCTTTTGCTGGACAGGACAAACCAACAAGGTGGCAAAGTCAACGATTTCGAGGGACAAAGGTTGTATGCAATCGACCGAGGATGGTCCTATGTTATCGCCAACACACGGGTTTACAGATGTGCAGGTTTGGAGAAGCGAAGCGGCCAGCAGACATAACTTCACATGCAACAGAGATCCAGCACACCGGGACGTTTCCTTCGTTTTGACTGCGGGATGACGATGACGACCAGGGCTATGAGCGAATTTGGGATTTGCTTGTTCCCCGAGATTACACAGCCAATACAGCTGACACCGGGAAGGACTGCGCCGCATGTTGGTCTCGTCGTGCTGCACCGTTATGATCTCATAGACTGGGGGCTGTTGAAGACAAATCCAGGTTAGCGCCTTGGCGCACAGTTGTCTCCTGTGAAGTACCACTCTACCGGATTCATTCTCCAGGCTTTGTTGACCAATTATATATGGGCCTACTATATTCAAATGTATGAGCGATAATAGCTGGCTAGTATTCCATGGAGGACGAATCGTATGCTTCTTTGATTAACACGCCATTTCCTTTAGGTTTTTATCAAGATACGTTCCGCCGGTTTGGATGTCAAGGTTGATAACTTTGAAGAGGGCCTTCTACGAGCACACTTGGAGTTCAGGCGAATGATCACTTACCATTCATTTGTTCTACAATTTTCTTATTTCAATCAGGTCTGGGGCGCTGATACTTCTCACATTCAAGGTGTGAGATCGTTTCTCTTCACCAACACTAGAATCGACCATGAGTATGGCTGCCACTAACGCATCGATTGCCACGTCGCAAGATATTTCCATCAAAGACCAACTTTCAAACAATGCAACAGGCGAAAAACGGGAAAACATAGAGGCTGATGGGATAGTCATACTTCCAAAAGCCGAGGAGGCATCATGGCAACAACAGCCCAGTAACCCGTTGCGATGGTCTAGTACGCGTAAATGGACAAATATCATACTCATAGCAGTGACAAACTTCTTCGCGTACGTTAAAAGCTTCTCATTAATTAATCCATCTTTTTATTCTCCTTGCACTGGAGGCCTGATCATGCACTTACTGGTACTTTCGACTTGCAGGCAAATGGCCTACACGGCCTTCCAACCAGCTTTGCCGACGATTATGAATGACCTACACGTCATGTCCAATCGAGGCTCTCTTTCAACTCTCACCATATCGATAAACATATTGGGATATGTATTCGGGCCGATTTTCATTGCTCCTGTGTCCGAACATGTCGGCCGGAGAACCGTCCTGATCATCTCAATTCCAGTCTTGATCATCTCAATAGTCGGGCCAGGTGCTTCAACAAATATCGCCATGTTTCTTGTTTTTCGAGCACTAGGAGGATTTCCTACGACATCCTTGAATTTAATCAGTTATGCAATTGTCGCCGACCTTTTGCCAGTAGAGAAGAGAGGTCTTGGTATGAGTATCGTTCTAGCTGGACCCAGCATTGTCAGTGACCCTAGTGCTTATATACTTCTCCTGCCCGAAGAATAAACTGACATTTGATTCTAGGGACCGACATTGGGCAAGTGATCGTTCTTGTTCTAAACATAATATGTACTAACATGAAACAAGGGCCCCTGACCGGCGGATACATCACTCAGTACATTGGCTGGAGATGGATTTTCTGGATTTACACGATAGCCGTGAGTTTTGACAGAGTAAAAAAGTTTCATGCGTCTCACGAAACACCAGGCGGGCTTTTGCGGTAGTTTGGTGATTCTCATATACAGAGAAACTTACAATCCCATTCTTGAGCGCCGATATTACACTTCTCGGCTCAACAAACACAACAACGCCATCCTCGATAATGAGTCCGAACGTTTTCCATTCACACTCCCACCCGATGTGAAGCCCCCTCCATCGCTTCGGCAAGCATGTGTTCGACCGTTTAAACTTATGCTAACACCTGTCGTAATCTACGCTACGTTTGTCTGCTCTATCGCAAACAGTTATCTTGTTTTTTCGCTAGCAACCTTGGGCACGTCTTTCCAAAAGCAGTACGGGTTTTCTGCGTCTCAAAGTGGTCTCGCATACCTCGGCATGACCGCCGGCTTCACAATCAGCCAGCTCACTGCTGGACTTCTTTCGGACAGATACATAAAACGAAAAACGAACAACGGTGAACTCGCCGCCAAGCCAGAGTATCGGCTCCCGATACTTATGATAGGCGCTGTAATGCTACCAGCTGGTTTCGTTGTCTATGGCTGGGGCCTTGAGTACCAGGTTCAGTGGATAATCCCCATCATTGGGAGTGCTCTAATCTCGTTGGGTGTGATGTACAACTTCATGCCTGTTCAAATGTACGTAGTCGACAGCTTCACCATATATTCTGTCAGCGCAACCGGAGCTGTAGGCATAATTCGTTCGATCATCACTACTGTGTTTCCCCTTGCGGGGGATCCTTTGTATACCAGCTTAGGTTATGGATGGGGCAACACATTGCTGGCATTTATTGCCCTGAGCAGTTTGCCGATGGCAATTATCTTTTGCAAGTACGGGGAGAAGTGGAGACTCAAATACCCACCGAAGTTTTAATACACATACATCGTCACTAGTAGTCAACACCTTGGGTAGAACACATGCAGGTGTATTCAATGGTCAGATAGTAGTGTCTAGAGTCGCCGTCAAACAGATCAAGATATAGCCGGAAATGAATATATTTTATCGGTCTCAAGGTGCTTTGAAGATAAACGCAAAACGGGAAGGCTGAGTCTAGTAGTGTGGCGCAGCAATGGTCCCTCATTGACGTAGCACACCGCCTAATGTTCATATTGGATAATTGCTCCTTGCTCCTTTCTCATCCATTATATTCGTCCCCCAAGAGACAGAGTTATGCCTCACGCCAAAGTCTAGTAGTGGAAACTGAATTACTAACAAGTAAGGTATTTCTACTGAGCCATTGTATTCCAGCTACTTTCACTCCAACCTTGCCCATTGAAACGTTCGTTCAATCTCTTCAACGCATATTACGCCAAATCTTGAGGGTGACTATGGTGCTGTCCAAGTTGTTCGTCACCGTTAGCACATCAATTGCCACCGTCCTGATCTATGTACTTATCGCCGGCTACCGTCAACGCTCTAGAATCTATCGTCTACAACAACAAGGCGTTGTAAGTTTGGTTCTGTCTTCTGAACTCTGTGGGCGTTGCTGATACTGACTCTTCAGGCCATAGCCGATGGATGGAGCTGGTGGTTTGGCCATCTTCTTGTCCTCAACAAGAAATTGAGAACGTTGCCGCATGACGCAAACATATTCATGGTGATGGACGATGTCATCAACAAACACGAAGATACAGGATATTTTGTCATGGACTACTGGCCTATGTTTCAGCCCGTCCTGCTGACCTTTAGCCCCGAGATTGCGACACAGGTGTCAAGCAGACGCGATTTTCCCAAGCCTGCTGATCAAGAAAATTCCTTCCGACCGATCATCGGGGGCCCAAGTCTTATCACCATGCACGAGACGCAATGGAAGTTCTGGAGATCGCTTTTCAACAATGGGTTCAGTGCATCGCACATGCTGAGTCTTGTTCCCAGTTTAGTCGATACCGTAGATATCTTCTGTGAGCAATTGTTTGCAAACGTAGATGGGGATATATTCTTCCTGGACGATATGGCCATGCAGCTAACTATGGATATCATTATAAAGACAACTCTCGATATTGACTTGGATAATCAGCGGGCTGAACATCAGCTCTCCCATGCGTTGAATACTATTCTGGACTGGCACTCGTTCTGGGACCCGCGGATTCTCCTCAATCCTCTAAGACTTCCGGTTCAGTGGTACTATGGTCGTTGTATGGATGGTTTCATAAAGGCGCAATTACAGAGACGGTTTGAAGAAATGAAATCGGAGCGCAGCGCTTCTACCTCCAGCCAGATCAAGAAGGCCAAATCTGTCATCGCACTCGCTCTCGAAGAACACATGTCTCTGAAGTATAAGGAGGGCAAACAGGCTTCCGATGATTTGAAACTTGATCCGCAGTTCGCAAATATCGCTGCAAATCAAATTCGAATGTTCTTATTCGCGGGAAATGATAGCACAGCTACGACTCTGGTGTATACCTACCACCTGCTTTCACAAAATCCGGTGGCTCTCGCTAAACTCAGAGAAGAGCACGCTTTAGTATTTCATTCATCCGAAGCCGGAGATCAGCTAAGAGAAGACCCATCCCTCATTAATCAATGTCCATACACTCTAGCTGTTATCAAAGAAGCCCTTCGTTTGTTCCCTGCTTCGTCAGCAATTCGAGATGGCATTGTGGGTGTATCACTCGTTGATAGCAAGGGAGATCAGGTGCCGACAGAAAATCTCAATGTGACGATCATGCATCGCTACATACACATACACCCCTAATTCTGGCCGCGTCCTCTAGAATTTGTCCCGGAACGCTGGCTTGTCGGACCTGGACATCCTTTGTACCCCAAATCACCATTGACTTCATACCGACCGTTTGAGCACGGAACTCGAAACTGTATTGCCCAGACGCTTGTGTATAACGAGTTACGTGTAGCACTCATCATGACTGCCCGGAAATTCGATATCAAGCCTGCTTATGAAGAGTGGGATTGCCGAGAAAAGAGCAGACAAGGAATTTTTGTAACCATGATGGAAACGTTGGGCTTGAAGGGGGAACAGTACAAGACTGTTCTAGGCGAGCGTGCTTATCAAACGAGCAGGTCGGGCGCACATCCTGCGGATAGGTATCCATGCCGTGTGAGTCTTGCGCAGGGCTAGTCTGTGGTGTTCATATACAAAGGTTCAACCAATATAGAAACTCGTCCGGTTTCACTCGTTTTCGTCGCTATCAATTTCAATTTCAACTTCCATTGAATGAAATCAGTGTACAACTGAAAAGTCGAACCCCTACAAAAAGAGGATGAGAAAGAGCTATGAACATATACTGTGCAACCTCTATTCATGCTTTTTATATACATTACCTGCTAATTCACAATTAGATGTTGATCATTGATACATCTTTGATGCAGGCTGGCTCTTGCTACAGATATTGGTTTGATGGAGATCACATCTTTGGACGTTATTGAAAGAATTGGAACTAATCAGGCTAGCTTTTTTTCCAGTCATGCCATTAAGAAATGGAGGGATGATGGTTGTTATGATTTATGCAAGAGCGAATCTCGCTGGTGTAATAGCTTTCCTAGAAGAGGCAAACACATGTGCTGCATGGTTATATTTCACGTCTTGGAAACCTCGCACAGATTTGAGTGTCACGACGCCAGTTATTATGCTTGATAATATATCTGAAATAAGCTACTTCAAAATGGCCATTCCAAACATTCGTGGGGGGTGCCGAGTAGTCTCGGACTTCAACATTGGTTTGCCATAGAAGGTAGCAATATTTAACTAAAGTAATTCCAATTTGCATCAACATCTCCGTAGACTAGAACCACATGATTCAACTTGAAGGAAGATTAAGAGACACATAGACGGGGATCAATATTCTTGATACATAATGGGAACCAGGTATGCATCACCTTATAAAACTATGTGAGGATTGAGCGACCTCAACATAGCTCTGACCTACCAAGGCTTTAATCACAGTTCACTCACGGGCTTGTGTAAGAGCAAGAGACGTAAGATTTTGCAGCCCCCAATGTGAATATTAGAAGATGCAAAGAACTGGGCAAACATACTCTGAGCCGTGATTCGAGGAGTCTTACAGGCCCTCGTCTAAGTGGATGACCATAAACCCGCCGGCTGCAGGTGGATTTCTAAATCCGCCGAATGGATTGCCACCATTACAGGGCAACATAGTATCATTGGTCTTCTTTTCGGCACATATTCTGGTTCTCTCCACTAAACTCAGCATTGCAAAAGAATCTCAACTTCTTGGTGAGCTACGGTAACAATGTCTACTCCACCATCCCATGAGCCAAATTATGACGATAGGGGACCGGGTCTCATCGTTATGGCGTCCATATCTATCGCTGTGTCCACGATCGCAGTAGTTGTTAGGCTTTGGTCTCAATTAGTGGTAACCAGACGCAGGCTTGGGTGGGACGATGTTGCTCTCCTATTCACACTTGTAAGGTTTTATCCGGAGAACTCAATATTGATCAACTTGCTAACACGTTCGGTATACAGTTGTTCTCACACCTTACTCTGGGGACGCTGATAGCCTGGGTGTACTATGGTTTCGGAAAGCACCAGTGGATGGTGCCTATACAAAACATGAAGTCGCTTCTTCTCTGTTTCCACCTCTATAAGACGTGGTACAACACGGTCATCTGGCTTATGAAGTTGAGCGCCTTAACACTCTACGCACGCCTATTCCGGGTCTCCAAAAGGATGCGACAAGTTCTATGGGGGTTCGGTGTTATTGTTACGCTATGGTGGGCAGCTATCGCAGTGACATCTTGGATGGAATGCCATCCGCGGATGAAAACGCTGGATCCCACGATCCCTGGGGAGTGTCCAGGACTAGGAATGCCGTATTACTATGCGCTCGCCATTATCAATCCAATCTTCGACTTCATAATTCTCCTCCTACCCGTACCGCTTATCTGGCAGCTTTATATGCCTACAGGTAAAAAGCTGCTCGTCGTGGCAGTGATGCTTTTTGGATATTCGTAAGGATTTGATTGAACATTCTTTTATATCTTGAATCACACTGATCGTATGCACTAGGTCGGCATTCTTGTCCTTGGGAAGATTTATCATCATCGTTCGCAGGCCAGAGTTGCTTGCAAGTTACAGTCCCACTGCCGATCCAACCTGTACGTTGCGACTCTCGCACATTCACTCTATTTTCCAATCTTCCTAACATTTAATTCAGGGGACAATGTACCATTGATATATGTTTCCTCCCTCGAGGCCCCCTTTGCCATTGTTGCTCTTTCCGGACCCCCAGTTAACCAGTTCCTGAAACGCGCAAAGCAATTTGGATGGCGGTCGCTGCTTTCTTCGCGAGAGTACCCGTCCCATCAGTATGCCTCTCATCGCGGAAACTTCGTTGGAGGAGGCAACAGCACCAAAGGGAGCAGAACGACCGCGCCTAAGAGCAATAATAATGAGTCTGAAGAGGATATCCTCGGTCCTGTAAGACCACAGTACGAAGAGCGCAACGAAACGTTGAACAACCATTCAAACGCGGTTGGTGGGAACAGCGCATACTTAGATTTGAACCATGTGCCTTTGGGAGCAATTCGTGTTGATAAGAACATTAGTATCGTCAACAATAACAGGTAACTCTAGCGTGCATTATCTTGTAGATTATTTCCCGCCTGTAATATTTTACCTCAAGCCTTCAAAGCTTGCTAGATCACATTTTGTATAAAAGAATGATTTAAATACCCTATGCGATTAATTATCCTACGCGGGATTATAGCATTAATCCCACTAATGATGTTTCTTTCAAAATAAGGTATCAAAGCAAATGTCTTCTACCAACCAGGTAATTCAGATATCGCGACAGCCCATAGCTATGTCGGCAAATAATAGGCTATAAAATCGTTCACATCGAAGAGTACTGCTGACGATCTTGTCACCTCGCATAATTTCAACACCACCTATTCCGAATGCTAAGACATGCCTTGCAGATTCGTGAACAGAGAGGTGCGTCGCGTTCATTGGATCTGCATGCAGGAGGCACGGGGCGAAGCGCTTAGGAGCCGTGCCCGTTGGTTGCCCTGCAGTCAATATCCAGAGGAGAGGAGAGGTCTGCAAATCACACGTTCGAAAGGTACGGAATTAAGAGTTCCGTACTTAGATAACAAATCTCACTCATGATGAGGTTCCAGAATGGGATTTCGCAAGGTTGTGGCTTACGGGAAGCAGTGGTATGCCTTGAATTAATTTGGCTTTTCTTGAATAGTGAAGAAATCGGTTCACAGTCATCTTACCTGTGATCCAACCATTACTAGTACTCTCCCTCTACCTGCCAAATGTGGAGAATGACTTCACCTAAGCCTGCATCACGCTTGCCGCAGAATCACATATCAATGAATACGCCCCGAGTCTTCGATCATTGGCCGTTAATTTCGGGTTACACGACAGCGGGCATTAGAATTTGACATTGCCCTACAGCCTTGGGGGGCGCAAATTCAGCTGGAACGGGAACGTAATCATATTGGTCTCCAAGTGAAGATAATGGAACGGTGTCCCCGCCCTACATTACGAATGCGCAGAAAGAAAAAATCAAAAATCAAAGGCTCATTATGAACACCAAGAGGGCGGCGTGCGATCGTTGCCATGGACAGAAAATGCGCTGCATTCGTGCGTCAACGTGCAACACTAAGTGTGAGAGATGTCGGGCAGCTGGGGCGGAGTGTGTGTACAGCCAGGCACGGAAGGCCGGTCGCCCTCGCTCACAATCGCACAGCATTCAACACCACGAGGCGCTCTGCAACAGTCGTCCTCCAATCTCAACACACCTCAATTCCCGCCACTCTGACGTAAATGAGAACGGCGACGATTCTGGCCCGAGTCTGGTCGCAAACGACGTCTGGGATCCTCTGCTAAGCTCTGGGGATACCGCTTTGTCCGAATTGAGCACCTGGATAGACGGCAGTGCATTCACACAAGATGCAGCACAGGCTGATTCACTCTCCCCTCTATGGGCGGAACGAAACCTTCGGGATGGGTTCCAGGGAAAGCACCTTGCGAATGTCGTGAGCCAACATCAACGTCAGTCCAATACGGTTCATGATGTAATGCAGCAACTGTCCGAATTGAGTGGCAGATTATTTTTTCAAGCAAACTCACGGTCACAGTCACATCCAGGATCCGGCAATCAGCAGCTACAGCATCTTGTTGCCAATACAATCGAAAGTTCAGTAGCCTTTGTAAACATCCTCAATGCCCTGCAAGAACGCTATCACGTCGTCTCATCACCGGTTGAGAATATTTTCCATGGCCCGACAACCAGCTACCCTACAAAAGGGCTCCAAGTCCAATCCACGCTTTCGGGTCTAGGTACTCCGGGTCTCAGCTTTCCCCATGAGTTCTCCTCCAGCTCTACGCCTTTGGCAGAATCGGTCCAAGGAAGCCCGGTAGTGTCAGACACAGCGACCACCTTGCAAATCCTCACGGCTTATATTCGCCTTACACAAGTACATTGCGTACTATACACACATATGCAGTGCCTACTGCTCGAATCTACCTCCGATACATCTATGGGTGAAGATGCCCGCCCCATAGTACCGCCTTTTCCCAAGCTTTCCATTGGCGGCATCTCCCTTAAAGCATATACGCGCTTCCAGCTCAAATTTCTTTTGCAAATTTGTGTACACCATCTGGGCGAAATTGAAGCTCTCCTTGGTCTTCCGGCACCCTTCCGTGTAGGAGAGTGTGAAGGTAGCGACTCCATTGCTGGCGGGATGCTAGGAGCCAGTGGAACAGGAAGTACAGCTGTATTAGTGCGAACTGTGATGATGGAGGTAGAAGAAACAGTAAATGGGATTCGAGATATTCTCTCCGACTTGCGTGAGCAACTTAGAGGTAGCATTTCAGTGTAAATCATATAATGAGCATATGTCCCAATCGAAGATACCCCATATCAGACGTAACTTATCGATGAATCCGGCCGAAATATGGAAGAAGGAAACATATTATTCACGATAGGATGTCGGCTTATTGTTGTGATGCAGCATTTTGTACAACTTCAAAGAGGAACTGATACCCAGGTGCGACCTGCTCCTCCCACTCTTTCATGCCCGGTACCAGCTCCAAGTCGTGGACATGCGAGGTATTGAGCTCTAAGAAACCATGACGGATCTTAGATTTCCGGAGTGCAGCTACAAAGCGCTCAGCACCAACAAACGGCGCGATTTCATCTTTCTTCCCGTGGATCATGAAGGTCGGTATGTCATAGTGGCCTTTTTGAAGTCGCGCGAGTGGGCTGATGTCTGCTATTCGCTCGGCCGCCGGTGTTTCAAGACATCCGTCATCAGAATTATTGCTCAAGCCATTCAGGAGCAGAGGCAGACCAATTCCATCAGAAAAGACGGAGAGCAACAATTCAGAGCGTAGGTCGCCCGAGCGAAGCCATCCCAGGTTATTTTCGCCTCCGGAAGACGTCTCATATTTTGTGAGCTATAGACAGAAGTTAGTGATCCGGGGTTGCAAGATCTCATTGAACAGAGGAAGAACGACTGGATACAGCGTACTGGAGCTTTTGGTAGGGTTTTAAGAATACTTGAGATGCTCAACTGCGGCCTAGGAAGTGCTGGCCGACGGTGATTGTCTAAAGCTGAAACGAAGATTAGCTCATGTCACACGGAAATACAATGTAGGTTGATAGAACATACCATTGAATTCAAAATCAACGGGTGTGTAAAAGCAAAGTATAGCCGTGGGGGACGGCAGGCAAGCTTCTCGAGTCGTCCACCCAAGAGACATTGCTAAATGGCCTCCCGTTGACCAACCGATGACCACAACACGATCACTGTCAACCATGATACCGCGTTTCAAAAGTAGAAGGGGAAGTTCGCTACGGGCCCACCAGTATCCGTCCCGCACATCTGCAAACGGGCCCTCTACAAGGTTGACCTCTGGACAAAGACGATAGTCTATGCTGACGGGAAGGAAACCGTTGGCGAGCAGATATCTGGTCTGCGCTGGGCGTATAGCCTTCCGAGATAATGCCATGTGGCCGCCTCCGTGAATCATGAGAGCTAACAAAATAGTAAGTATTGTAACGTAACTGTATGGTGGGAGGTAATCTACCAATAGGCATCGATGAAGATGTAAAAGCACCAGGAAGGTAGACGTCAGCTTCAATTTGAATGCCACTTACATCTTTGTAAATCATGGTCTCCAGTTCAAATGTCTCCATCTTGCCCGAGACAACATCTGAAGGAGGAGTTGCCATTGTTTGGCTAGGCCAGTGTCTTTTACACCCAACAAGCAGCTGCTGTGTATTTGTCTCTAGAGTGGAGCCCTGAGAGAAACCTAGAGATAAGAAGCCAGCGTTTTTGAATGCAGCCATCCATACGGCTGTGGATTGAAGTGGGTGCTCGCTCCCTCTCCCCGCAAGCCACCAACCTTCCAAAACTCCAAAACACATGTCGAACCAATCAATGCTTTTTGTGACCTCAGAAAGAATGACGATTCCATCATCGGTAAGTGTATCCCATATGCGACGACATGAACGTTCTCTATCTGACGTCGCGTGAACACAGTTTGTGCTTATAACAATATCGAAGGCGTGTTTGAATTCATCTTTGACATGATTCTCCAGATCCAGCACAGCAAACCTCATCCACGGGTACCTAGAAAATTTCGACTTGGCCTTTGAAACTAGCCTGGGAGATATGTCCGTGAACGTATATTCGCATGTTATGTCAAGCTTGCCCAGAGCTTCTGCCAGTTTGATGGTGGTCCCGCCAGTACCCGCCCCGATCTCAAGAATGCGAATGGTAGTGTCGCCCCTTTGCAATGGTCCGAGAAAATTCATCAAATAAGTTACTAAATGTTGGGTCATTGTTGACAGCATCGGAGAGAAACTATAGTATTCCTCCATTATCGTAGATGATTCGGCATTTCCAAACAGGAGAGCGATTGGGTCCTCTTCGCCCTTCAGGCACTCTGCGAGGCGTTCACCTACGAGCCTTATCAGTTTCGCTTCAGGAAGGTATCGCGGAAATTTTTGGACAAAATCGTCATAAACGCTAGAGGAACTGAGTACGGAGCGGTTAGGCATTTCTTGACTACAGAGAATCACGGTATTTCGTTTCTCCACATAATGGTGTTTCTCGAGGATCCACCAAATTCTCGACATTAGCTTTTCGTGCCTTGGCAAGTATTTGACTGCAGGAACTGGGTTCTGGGGAGTGATTGAGAGTAGATCCAGATTGAGCTTCCGGAAGGCTTCCAAGAGGTACGCAATCAACAAATCGTTCTGTAATGGAGCGACAACATTCCAGTATCCCGCAAAACCCTGATCAATACTCGCGTCTTCTATGTAATGATTAGAATCATCAAGTGCGTTCAGCGGATTTCCTAGAATCTCAAGCGGTTGAACAATGCGAAGGGATGGTGATGGGAATAAGACAGCAGACTTTGTGGGAGATGCTGTAAAACTCTCCTCTCTGATTTGGGTTACCGGCAGTTTCGCCCTCCCGCCTATTTCCAGCCCAAAACGTGTATACAGCGTACGTAAACTGATATGACCAAGTGATTGGGAATCTACCGTGACCTTGAACATTGTTGATAGTTCCGTGGCAAACTCGATAGATGACAGCGAGTCGAACCCCAAGTCCATTAGTAGGGAGTCTTCAGAGATATCAGTGCTTTCGAGACCAGTGTAGGTTGAGATGAGTGCCTGTACGGCATCCTTTTGACTCTTGGACGAAGGATACATTTCGTCATCTGACGGAACTGAAGCGCAAAAGTGCGATTCAGTGGGTGTTCGAAATGTCGCCTCATCCGTGAAATCGGACTCTGTCGAAGCAACAGGATGTAGCCTCTGAGTTGTTGAAATGCTTGGGTTCGCAGAGGCCAGTGACTTCTGAAGCTTCGAGATTGCGACCTTGTGAAACCGCACACCGCTGAATATCGCCAGGACCTCGCCACGCTGAGAACAAACAAAGACGTCACCGGTTGCCTGCTTGCTGTCTACCAGAGAGAAGTTCACAAAAACTTGCAAATCAGAATTTGGCCCTGGTGAGCAAGCGGAAGATAGAACTGTCCGGTCGAGTCCTACGGCAACCATGGCTTCCGCTCTGGAGACTGTGTCGCTGCTGTTCAATAGCAGACCGGCTACTGAAATGAAAGTATCTAATGTCACAGCATCGCATCGGTGCCATGCCGTACTGTCTTTGCTATCAGGATGATCTTTATAGTGTTTGACAATGGCTAAAGCCTCTGTCTTGTCAAGTACGATCGATAAGATGCCCTGTAGAGAAGGGTCGTAGGTCACGACGTGCGAGAATAGATCATACGCGCGTTTTGACATGAGCCTCTCGGTGTTATTCTTTGAGAGCAGTGTTTGTATTGAGTTTGCCACCAGGCGGCCAAACATCGAGACTTCTGCACGAAGGGTCAAGGCCAACCTGCCGGTGCAATGTACCCGTGGGTGCATACTTGACCCAGAGACTGTCGACTGCACCGTAAAGTTCCACGCCTGCTCGGAATGCAACTCCAAATTAAGAATAACCTCGCGCGTGCTATCAAGTCCTAGCGGTGCGCTGAAGTCAAGATTCTCGAAATTCAGGCAATGAGACTCGATATCTTGTCCGCGAAGAATCTGGAGGGCCATCGTTGCACATTCCATATACAACGATGCTGGACAAAGTGGCTGACCTAGAACGGCATGTCCTTGGACAATTCGCTGGTATCGAAGAGACTGTGTGTTGATGTAAAAAACGGATGTAGTGCCCGAGGAGCCGGGGGATTCCTTCGTAAAAACGAGGTCCTTTGGTGGTACGGCATTTTCAACTGACTGGAGTGGCAGTTGTTTGCGTGCTTCCGTGGTACGATCAATGTTGTCCACCCAGTACGATTGCCTCTCAAATTGGTATGGCGGGAGCCATACAGGTCTGAACACCTGAGACGAAGGCCCGAAAAAGGTACTATATGAAACGGACAGGCCATGTCTCCAAAGCTTGGAAATTATTGTACTAATTGACTGGCCCATAGATTCGCCAATTTTAATCCTAACTGATTGGAATAAATGCGCATCTGGATTCGCGACAGCTCGTTTTGTCATCGCAACAATTGGTGTGTTAACTCCAGCTTCCAGCCAAACTGATGGACCCAAACGCCTCTCGACCCTTCGCACTGCGTCAAAGAAGTATACTGGTTCTCTAGCGTGCTTAGGAGCGGACCAATCTGATATTGAATCTAGGTGCTCGTGCGTGCAAAACTCGACAGGGACAATGGGTTCATTCCATGCAAGTGATTCAGCCCTTGATTGCAGCCAAGGAAGGATTGGCTCGGTCAATGATGAGTGAAAAGCGTGTGTAGTAGACAATTGCTGTGAAATTATTCCGCTTGCGCCTGAACCGGCAGCTAAGAAGTCCGCCGTTGCTTGCACCAACGACGATGATCCCGCGACGACAGTTGAACTGGGACCATTGTAGCATGCAATATCAAGCTTGGATCGATCGGAATGGCCCAAGGTAGCTGGCGGTAACGTTGCTTGTGCCTCAGTCGCTGAGACATTAAGGACAAGCATGCTACCACAATCTGTTCCCCACCGGGTCGAAATGAGATGTGCCCGATATGCGACCAGATTCAGAGCATCTTTCAGAGACAGTGCCCCAGACACAGCAAGTGCAATAAGCTCGCCCAGACTATGTCCAATGATCGCGGCAGGTTTGATACCAGCATTGATCCACAGGGAGGCCCATGCATATTCCATGGCGAAGATGCTGCATTGCAAGCAAACAACATCAGCGATGGGTTCGGTTTGAATAATGGCTTGCTGAATGGAGGGATATCCAAGGGAAAGGAGAATTGAATCGCAGTTATCAATGTATCCTTTCAATGCAGGATAGGTTTTGTAACATGTGGGATCCAGTGCGACCTTGTTGTCATATTGTCCGCTAAGTAACAGAACAACTGGCGTGGGCCTATCTGGGTATTGGAATGGAGAAGGCTGAACGGATTCCAAGCTACGAATCAAAGATCCTACATCAGTCGCAGTTGTACTGATGCAATATCTGTGTTTTTTCCGCCGCTCATTCAATGTGAAAGCGACATCAGCAATGCTTAACTTAGAAACATTCCTTTCAAGGTATGACACTAAAGCTTGGATATTAGCTACTAGACCGTTATCTGAAGCGCTGCTGAGAAGGACAGGATGTGGGAGCGGCGGTGGCCTCGTTTTAATTGTTGTAGGCATCTCATGGCAAAGTAGTGCGCAGTTGGACCCTGCAGCCCCGTAACTATTCACACAAGCGGCGCGCAATGGTACGTTCCATGGCAATAGCTCTTCGCTGATTCGAATTCCGTCGAGATCAAGAGGCGGGATCTTCCGGTTCAGCAGTTTATGGTTTGCTTGAGGAGGAATTTTGCCATGTTTTATCATGGCTAGGACTTTCAGTAAACCCGCAACACCCGCACCGCTTTCACAGTGGCCAATGTTTCCCTTGATAGAGCCCACAGTGATTGGTACTGTCCGGGATGAACTCCCAAAAATGGAACGAATGCTATCCATCTCGATCGGGTCGCCAGCTTGGGTGCCCGTTCCATGTGCCTCTACAAAGGTGACGTTGGAGGGTTGGAAATCTGCTTTCTGGAGAACATTTCGAAAGAGGGCCTGCAGGGAATCTGAGGAAGGGATTGTTAGAGACGATGAAAGCCCGCCTTGATTTGTGGCAATCCCCGAGATGACGCCCAAGATTTGATCGCCGTCCTCCAGTGCTCGAGTAAGCCTCTTTAGGACTACTAATCCTGCGCCGTCTGAACGACAGTATCCATCCGCGGAGTCGTCAAACGGCTTACATTGTCCAGTGGGACTAAGAAATCCTGCTTTTCCTAAATCCAAAAAGTTGTTAACACCTGTGATGATGTTCACTCCACCAGCAAGTGCCATATCGCATTCTCCTGACAAGATAGAATTGCAAGCGCGACTTATTGCCACCAATGAAGACGAACATGCAGTATCAATAACCTCTGAAGGTGCAGTCCAGCCATACTGGTGGCTCAACCTTCCACATAAGAATGCGCGAAGGGTTCCGGTAGAGGTATACGCCGAGGGTGCATGGGCGTTCGTGTTGTCAAGATATTCTATCATGTTTGCCCCAATGAAACAGCCAACTAGGTCACCCCTCTCTCGAACGTGGGAAACCAGATATCCGCTTGAGTCAAGTGCTTCATAAGATAGCTCTAAAAGAATCCGCTGTTGGGGGTCCAAGTTTGCCGCTTCTCTGGCGTTCATGCCGAAGAATGACCTGTCGAAGCCTTTCACGTCATCAAGAAAATTCCCGAATATCTTTTGTGCCTCGTTCCCACTTTGGACTGCGCGGGAGCTTGATTGGATGTCGAATCTGTCTGTGGGAACTCCTTTGTGGCAGTCTTTGCCGCTTGATATCACGTCCCACAACTCCTCGAGATTAGTAGCACCTGGTAGGCGGCAAGACGCTCCGACAATTGCTATAGCACCTTCATGAACTGTTGGAGTTGCAGTTACCTTTGGGTCGTAGAAATATGGGGGCAGTATTTTGGACACCTCTAATCGTTGCTTGTTGAATGGTGCCAGAGGAACGCAGTCATTGAGGCCAAAGGTTACAACAGAGTGAGCTCGCCGTCCTGAAGCTTTCATGTCTTCGGCACAGAGGGTTAAAACTTGGTACCATTCGCACCTTGATGCAATAATCATCACGATCAGGTCCTCAATGACAGACCCGATTTCGAGTTTTTTCGCACTCCGATTGGACCTGATCGATACTCGTAGCTCACTTTGTTTAGGTAATTGAAGGGATGGTGTCTGCCTCCAAAGTTGTAAGAAACCAGCTGCAAGAGGGACATTGTCCGGGCAATGTGCTTTGCCTGTGACCTCCATTTGCTGGACTGGTAATCCCAAGCCGTGTGCGTAGTCGAACAACTGGGCCAATATTGTAGCATTGCCGGCAATGCTAATGGATCTAGGCTCCGTTACTGCTGAGACATATGTCTATGAAAGGTGAGCGTCAAATACATCCAAAGAGCCTGGAAAACTTACGCCTGGGAAACGAGCAACGAGTTCATCTCCTTGACCCTCATATTTCAGTCGACACGCAATGACAGTCGATGCTCCTGTACTCGGATAGTCGGCTGCTTCTATGCAGGCTCCAATGCCTACCAACAGCCGAAGGAAGACAGCAGCATTCTGAATAACTTCCGCCTCGTCCTTGGCACAAGCAATCGACAAGGCCGCAGCAGCGCCACCACAGTAACCCTGAATACCGCCAACATGCTGAACCTGCTCAACAAATCCAGAGTGTGAGAGGGAATGGATCTCGAGATATCGCAGATATTGTCCCAATTGGAGGATGAGGAGCAATGGAAGAGCTATGATCCCGCTCCTGGCTTGTGAAATTGGGGCAGAAGAGCCGCCGGCGGCCCAATCCATAAGCGTACGCACCTCGCTCGAGCCTTTGGGGAGACTGCGGATGTCGTCCCTTGCGCTGCAAAACATCTGGAATGCCTCATCCAATCGCGCAACATGTTGGAGAAGGCATTCTCCGTGCGGGTTTCGTTGAAGGAAAGACTGTAGCCCTACGAGGCACAGTTCCGGAGGAGCCCTGCCTTGAGGGCAGAAGAAAGCTGCCGAAATGGTTTGAACGACCATACCTGTAGCACCTTTTCCATCTCCTCTGCCAGTCACAAAACTCAGGTTTTTCAATGGCGCTTTTAGTTCTGCTGTGTCCCATCATATAATTTCAAAGCCACACCCGGTTATTTCCTATGCTAGCTTACCCGGTCACTGTCATCCTCGATGCCTTGGTACCGGTACCGGGGGATTTTGACGTTTCCCATGCATGGTTGATGGATTGGGTTACAAATGCGCCGGGGAATGGGTGGACGGAGAGGTAAATAACATGTGCACGCAATGGACGGACGACCATATTTGTGATGGTTGATTAGGTGAGTAAGAATCATGGAGACCAAGAGCGTGTACTTTCACGCCCTCTGGGGTGCGCGTCCAACTCATGATCTGGCTTTTGCCTTTTGTCTTCTCGCAGTATTCGCAGTTGGTGTAGTTGTTTTGGTTGCTCTCCGGCGGGTTTGGTTCCACCCCCTCGGCGTTTTCCCCGGTCCGAACGTGTGGGCGGCTTCACGACTGCCGTGGGTGCGCCACATGGTGAAAGGAGACCTATGGCGCATCCTCCATCAACATCATATCCGATTTGGTTCCATCGTACGTATCGCTCCAAACGAACTCAGCATCTTGTCTCCCTCCGCCTGGCACGATATCTATGTCTCTCGTCCTTTGCTCCTCAAAGAGCCCTTCGGCCAGACGCCACCTCTCAACGGGGCGCACTCGCTTTTTACTGCAGAAGGCCATGAACATCGTCGCATCCGTGGGACTCTCGCACACGCCTTTTCCGATAAAGCTCTCCGGGATCAAGCGTCCTTGATCGAGCATCATGCAAATCAATTAGTATCAAGACTGCGCAGAGAGCTCAAGAAGTCGTCTTCGCACGTGCTTGACATCTCCAAACTTTATGGCTATGCCACATTCGACATCGTGACCGACTTCAGTTATGGGGAATCGGCAGAGGGCCTGGTCGGCGACAATGAGCACAACAATATCGCCCGCTTCTTCCTTCATGCCCAGTACAGCACCGTTCGCAACTGTCTTCGCTGGTATTCGCCGCTGGATAAGCTATTGGACGTTTTCTTCCTCCGGGTGTCGCGAAGCACCCGTGAGCAGAATTGGGCTCTTGCGTTAGCCAAAGTTAATCGTCGCCTGGCAAAAGGCGATATGACTGGTATTCGTTCCGATCTCATGACCCCGATCGTAGGGCGTATTTCCGAAGAGGGTGGAAAGGGAATCACCAAGGCAGAACTTCTTTCCAGTGCATTGGGTATCGTAATCGCCGGTTGCCAGCTTACCACCGTCGCGCTTACAAGCTGTACTTTCTTCTTACTGCAAAATCCGCGGGCTCTGGAGAGGCTCCTCCAAGAGATTCGTACTACTTTTACAGCAGAGGAAGACATAACTATACCGTCGACCCAACACTTGTCTTATCTGGATGCCGTACTGAATGAAACCATCCGGATCCATCACCCATCGCCGATCAGCTTACCAAGGATGGTGCCACCAGAAGGGCGAGTAATCGATAGTACCTTCATTCCCGGCAATGTAAGTTTCGATGCCGTTACCTGCGCCCCATAACACAGTGTTACTAAACGCCGGTGCAGACAATCATCAGTATCAACCTTCAAAATATCCAGAATAGCCCTGAGTTCTGGGTCGAGCCCCATAACTTCCATCCAGAGCGGTTCCTATCCTCAACGAATGCGCACTATGAGGCCCGATTCGAGAACGATGTAAAGGCAGCATTTATGCCTTTTTCTACTGGACCACGGAACTGCATCGGTGCTAAGTATGTGCTCGGTCTTTGGGGCATCTTTTCTTTATACTGATTAGATCTTAGGTTGTCTATGGCCATAATTAAAGTGACCCTGGCAAAGGTTTTATGGAACTTCGACCTGTCTATGGCTGAGCCTGATGTTGCGAATTGGCAGAATCAGAGGGTTTGTATCGTTTTTGAGCCGAAACCACTGCGAGTTGAAGTGATGGATCGCTCTAGTAGCAAAGCATGATCATTGCGGTGGGATTTGAGTTCATGACCGGGTTTTCTTTGGTTTGCCTGTCTTGTTGATGTCATTCTACGAAGACGAACACCTAACATTTAGCTCGTATCAAGTCTTCCATTATTTGTTTACAAAAAAGAAAAACGCTCGCTTTCTTGATGCGCAGATATGTACATGAAAATGGAGTGCAAAATTCAATGAGGAATTATCGGGATTTAGTTCTAATAATTTACGGTTAGAAGGTCGAGAATTATGTTGTGCCTGTTCACTACTGCGTGACTAGTACCTATGAAACACCACTCTGTCTGTCATTATAGCATTGAAAACGAGCAAATATTCTATTCTGATACTTCCATATTAATCCTCTTGCTTCCCTCCTCCGATTGGATTGTAAAATGAAAACAGGCCTTTCGGATCGTATCTAGCCTTCAACGCTTGCAATCTTGGAAGATTCTCCGTACCATACCATGCCTCAGCTCCCTCATCACCACGAGCGAAATTCGAATACAGCTCTAGATGATTTTGACCGCTTAACTCGAGTAGCTGTGCCCTGATTTCATTTCCAAAAGCGTCGAGTGCGTCCACGGACGAGGGATCGAAGCTGAGGCCATCGATTTGGCTACATTGCGTCAATAAACAATCCATCTGTAGCGTAGAGGTAGAGAATAACTTACACGAAGACCGTGGGTTCGCGATAAGGGAATGAGGAACCCACTCTCCCCTTCGCTGTCATATTCGCGTCACTATTCGCGCGGAAGCCCTGACTCGCATACTGGGTGAATGTAAACAGAGTGCCCTGTACTGCCGGTGTCGTCGAAGTGACATTGTACACGTGTTTTGTAAGCTCTGATAATGCTTCGACATTGATATCATAAAGATTGATGGCGTGTGGCACATAGGTGTAGCTGCTGGCACAAGTCATCTTTGTAATTCCGTAGACGGCAGTGTCTGGTGCGTCTTTCCAAGGAATGTACGATATCGCTACATTGGTGGGTTCGAGCTTTAGAAGAGGCTCGAGCAATGCTTTTCCGTCTTCCAATGGTCCGGCATAGATGGCATTGACAATTATCGCAATCTGGTCAAAGAATCAGCAACTTGTTTACGGTTCTCAAGTCCACAGTACTAAGAAAAGATCAGGAGCATTACATCGCTTTTTTCCGGATCATACCGCATAGCAAACACTAAGCTCAACTCTGGTGGTTGCGTCCCTAGCATTGTCTTGGAAAACTCCCAGATCGAAGCATTTTGGGCACCTGTGAAGGTCATATCGGCATTCATAACCATACCTCCATTGGGTTGGTCGTGGACGCGATACGTGAAGGAGGTGACGCTGCCGAAGTTGAATCCTGCGCCTTTGATACCCCAAAAGAGGTCTTGATTCTCCGTATCAGATGCAGTAAGCAGTTCCCCAGTGCCAGTGACAATGTCGACAGAGTGAAGCGAGTCGGAAATGGCACCATAGAGTCCAGAATAGAATCCAATGCCACCACCAAGAGTTGCGCCGCCAATTCCAACACAGGAACACGCGCCAATGGCTAGAAATATTAGACATATCCGATAGAATAGTAGTGACAAATCAGCATACTTGTAGATTTGCCCTTGGCATGAGCGGCAGCCGCCACGTCTCTGAAGCGAAGAGATCCGCCTGCTGTCATGAGGTTCTTATCTGCATCGACGAAAACAGTATTGAAGTTGCCCATATCCAATTGGATACCATCTTTAATCGCCCCAAGGGTGCCAGAATATCCATGACCGCCGCCTGTGGTTAAAAATGGTATATTCTTTTGTGATGCGTACTCGATCTACAAATCAAACAGATTAGCTTGCATTCCTCTATCACGAAGAGAATTTAATTCTAGACTGACCACTTTCTGCACATCGCCGCGCAAGGCAGGCTTAACAGCAACTATGTACGTCGGGGCACTCCACAAATCCCATCGCGGAGTGGTAGCATTAACTGAAGCTGGATCCGAGGTGAGATAGACTGAAGAACCGGACGACAAACAATTGCGAAAATAGTCAGCAATCTCGTTGGCCGATGTCATGGCTGATACAACGTTGACCAAGAAGAGCAGCCATGGCATCCACGCGAGACGAATTATAAGGGAAATCATTTGTCCAGTTTTATGCCCTAGACCGGCGGTTGCAAAGTGGAATCCACCGGTGACACAGCAGCCTTTTTAATTCCTGGCATAAGTCCTTCAAACGGAATCCGGCCGATTTCTGATTGGGCGGCTTCCATTTCGCATGGCATTATTGTGGCGTAATGCTGGAAGACAAGGATAGTTCATCGCAGAGAGCTACGAGCATGATCTTACATGTCTTTTCGATTACATTTGGCTGTTATAATTCATGCATTCCCCGCAGTATTGGTGGTGGCCATGATTAGCAAAGATGGCGCCGAGAATCGATGTCCACCATCATATTCTGCCACCACAAATTACACAGCGTAGGTGGAGAATTCACAGTCTCGAGGGAACAGATAACTAAAGGGACCGACAGTGCTTCAAGGCAATCCTGCGATTCCAAAGGGATTGAAGCTGCCCCAATGGACTGCCGAGATGAGCGCTTTGTTCATGGAGCAAAACCACATTGACGCCGCCATTTTTTCTCTTCCTGTTCCTTTGTCCGTTCTGGGCAAAGAAGGCGTAGAAGCTGCAGCATTGTGTCGAGAGGTCAATGGATACATGGCGGATCTGCGGGTGAGGGACGAGAAGCGGTTCGGATACTTCGCCGCACTTCCCTCGCTTGAGGATGTCAACGCCTGCATCCACGAGATTCGGATTGCCCTGGATGAGAAAGGGGCGGACGGCGTCACCTTGTTCACAAGCTACAGGGACAAGTACCTTGGGCACCCAGATTTCGCTCCGGTGTGGGAGGAATTGCACGCGCGTGCAGCTGTTGTCTTCATACATCCCACCATGGAGGGTGCCGAGAAAGCAGTGACGGAGCCACGGTTGTTGCCTCGACCGCTGGTGGATTGGACGCATGAGACGACGAGAACGGCAGTTCATCTCGTCACTACAGGCACCTTGAACAAGTATGACGCTTGCAAGGTTATACTCTCGCATGCAGGTGGCACGTTGCCCTTTATCGCCGGCCGGGTTGCTGACCTAGCTGGGGAGATGGCGCTCATGGAGGGGCAGGGCGACTTTGTAGAGACGGCGAGATCCTTCTACATGGACCTTGCCTTGGCCGGGTATGAGGCCCAGTTGAAGCTGACGCTGGATTTTGCGGCGCCCGGTCATATCCTGTATGGCAGTGATTTTCCTTTCGCCGGTCATGGTGTGGTTGCACGCCGGCAGAAAGCTCTCATAGACCTTATGGCCGGCGACGAGGTTGTTCGAGGGGCCAAGGTTTTGTTTCCCCGGTTCTTCAGCTGAATATCAAGAATAGAGTTCAATTTATCATTATTGCGGCCGTTATATTCGAGTGCATCTTCACCTACTTTTGTCGTTATGTATCGATTATTGGCGTAACTCGGTATGACGGTTTTGGTTGACCAAATGGCTTTGATCACATTAACCTACGCATTTGTTGGCATTGCCAGCGCTGCCTGCTTGTATATGACCCTGCGCGCCATCTATCGCCTCACCCTGCATCCTCTCGTGTCCTTTCCCGGGCCCAGACTGCGTGCCGTCTCCCATCTTCCACATGCTTTTTCGGGCTGGCGCGGCCGTCAGCCCTATGACGTTCGCGACCTCCACAGAGATTATGGCCCAGTAGTTCGCATCGCGCCCGACCTCCTCTCTTTCACCTCCCCAAGCGCCTGGCAAGACATTTACGGCCATCAGGCGGCCAAGAATCTCGTCAAATATGGTTATTTTCGCGTTCGGGAAGATGCGCAGCCTATGCTCACCAGCTTTGGTGCAGACCACGTACGGCAGCGCACAGCGTTCTCCCATGGCTTTTCCGATCGAGCCATCAGCGAGCAGGAGCCGGCTCTCGCGCAGCACATCGAACAGTTTCTCGCACAGCTACGCAAGTCTTCCAGAGATCGCACCATCGTGGACGTTGGTACCATGCTGCGATTCTTGTCCTTCGACATTGTTGGCAAGTACGCATTGAGCACTGACTTTGGCTGTCTAGAAAACAATGCCTATCATCCGTGGGTGGCCTTGCTCTTGCTGTGGTTCCGCACAGTCACATACGTACAGAATGCCCTTGCAATGGGGATACTAGCACCATTTCTTATGCTTTTTGTGCCACGGCGTATGCTAAACAGCGTCAAGGACCATCTCCGTATGAGTGCAGAAAAGGTCCAACAACGGCTCGCAGTTGGCGATGACCCCAACATCCGCGATCTATGGACCTACATTCTCCAGAACAAGGGCGAAAAGGGATTGACAACAGGAGAAATGGAGGTCAATGCTGCAGTTTTGCTCGTGGCAGGTACCGATCCCATTGCTGATGCAATCGCCGGTACCTTATACTTTCTTGCGATAAATCCTGCCGCGAAGAAGAAGCTATACGATGAAATAGACGGCGTCATCACCTCGCAAGAGAACCAGATCGTAACCATGGCCTCGACAAAAAGGATGCCATACATACATGCTTGTCTCAACGAGGGGATGCGGCTCTATCCTCCAATCCCAGGAGGCATGAGACGCCAGGTTGCGGCTGGAAAGACATCAACTGTAGCGGGATATTCACTTCCAGAAAAGGTTTGTTAGACATTATCATGATCTCAACGTTTGCGAGTGTAGCTGGTACTTACACGAGACAACAGACGGTGGTCAGCGTCTGGCAACTCCCGACATTCACTCTTCCCCACCACTTTTCGTCCCACGACCAGTTCATCCCTGAGCGTTGGCTCCCCGCTAATCATCCCGACCGCCCTGCATACACGCTCCATGATCGTCAAGAGGCTTTTCAGCCTTTCAGCGTGGGTCCGAAAAACTGTCTTGGAAAGGGCCTCTCGTATGCCGAGATGAAGCTGATCCTTGCCCAATTTCTGTGGCACTTTGAGTTTGAACTAGCAGACAATGCTTTCGATATCGAAAAACAGAAGAGTTACGTTTTTCGGGACCGGCCACCATTGAGAGTAAAGTTAGTAGAGAGGTTCCTGTGATTGTACTATTTTTTCTAGGCTTTGATGCTAGAGAGAAACCGAACGTCGGCATGCGCGAGGAGAAAGGCACACATGAAAGATCACACGTCGAGAAAAAAGTAGATACATATGAATACCAGAGTTACACCATTTGTGTTTGTTTATCGCTGAGCTCCTGCGCAAGCTGATAAGTGGGCAAACGCATAGTTTATTTTCCCCAATCTCATATCTAAGCCTTCAAGAATTGCCTGCAACGTCAGTCCCACTGTCAAGGAGATTTGAACGCGAAAAATTATGAGGGGAAGAGTCTTTTCTGCGAAAATATCAAAGGTCAATCCGACGGTACTGTTTGAGGCCTTTGATAACATAGATATTAGTCGCTTATTTGAAACTCGGATTTCTCTACGAACCAAAAGTATAACGAGGTAGATCCTTTCCAGGTATTGTTGTTTTCCCCAGCTTTGAATAATGAATTAGCTTGCTGTAGGCTCTGCCAATTTCGTACTTACGGGTCCTGTGACAAGAGATGATTAACATCAACTCTCGCAAAAGTTAGAGACATTTGATGCAGGGTTGAACTCTGTGGAATCTGGGAATGAAGCAAAGGCAGTAAAGGTGTTAGGACTATAAAACAGGAGTGATGGGGTCAGGCATACCAACGAAGTGTGTACTGGATATAATCAAATCAATTTTCCGACATTGCTTCCAAAAGATTGCGAAACTCATCGGCTTTACTTGTTCTCATTGATTCATGGCTGAACGCTCCGGTTGTTCAAGGCGTGAACGATTTGGATCGGATGTTACAGGCTTGTTTTTTATCTACTTGGAGTTAATTGCAATTATTATATCGCTGAAGTAGGCGAACGCAGGGCCACGAGGGATTCTTCTATCCCGGGGCTATTAATCAGCTTTAATCAATGATAAACATCAGACGCAGCGATAAAACAGCTTGGTCCTGGTACTTAGTACTAACTACTGTATACCTACCAAGGTAGGTCTAGCACCGAGTTTGGATCCCGAGTATGTGTCGCCTCATACATTGACGTTCGTTCTAGACTGTAACCAAACTTTCTAGCTGCACTCTCTTACAGTTGAAGAGGGGAACATATATTATAAGTTGTGTATTCTTCTAAGCTGTAAATTTGTTTTCTCGGCGATAGGATCAAGTAAAGTAGCCTGTTGACATTGAGTATTCCCTTTAACTGCAGTAGAGTCCTCGCCTAATTTAGGTGCCTACGGTGCCTACCTACCTAATTAACCCAATTCCAGTGACATGGAAAGGATCACGTGCTCCATCCCGGCATTGTAGAACCGCGAAATGGCCGACCTGCTCATTCACCTCTCCCTTCCGCTCCTCATCTACAACGCTTTTGACAAAATTATTCGGCGCATTTTTTGCTTTTTTTTTGACAAGACGCTATCTCATGTCTGCTCGTGCAGATTTGCTGGGTCATCATGCCACCAGCTATGATGGGACCTGACGCGCAGCAACGCATTGCTGTAGAGGCAGCGGACATACAGACATATCCAAACAATGCGTGGACACGATCAACCAATTCCGACGATTCCGACCTCACCCATCCCCACGATGCATCGCCGTCGGGCTGTCCAGAAACCCCTCTCCCGCCTTCCATCCTCAAATTGCCGAAAGAAATTCTGTCACAGATCAACGCGAGCTTCGCCGGCACGCCTCTGTCCGCCTCTTTGTCCAACCCCCCGATACTTCCTACGCCACTGTTAGGTTCAAAGATACGATGGGAGGGTAGTTGGTATGATGGATGGGAGCCCAAATGGGGTTCTATACAACCCGACGAGGACAAGGTCCGCATGGTTGCGAAACCCTTTCTGCGTTTCTGTGGTATCGATCCATCCAACTTCTCCGTCCTCCCATTCCACCAAGGCATGTGGAACAAACTCTACCTCATCAAGTCAACGGACAAGTCGACGCATGTCACCACAGAGCGCATCTTCCGGATTTCACTCCCCGTCAACCCGTGGTTCAAAATCCAGAGCGAGGTGGCCACGATGGAATATATTCGTTTGAAGACGTCCATACCAGTGCCAAAGGTGTACATCTTTGAGTCGTCGATGGAGAACGACCTTGGCTTCGAATGGATGATAATGGAGAAGATCGATGGCCAAACCTTCGCCGTCGCAGAGAATTCCATGAGCCAAGTGGCAAAGGAGCGCCTCAATACGACCATCGCCGATTGGGTCCACGAACTCGCCATGTTACAGTTTGACGTCATTGGCAGTCTCTATCGGGAGTGGGATCCTACCAAGGACAACTATCTCGAGTTCCGCTTAGGCCCCGTGACGACCGATTACTTCCTCGGCCCATGGAGGACGGAAAGACCTGTCTTCAAAGGTCCCTTTAGAAATGAAGCCGAGCTCTATCGGGCAGTAGTCATGCTCAATTTGCAAGACATTCTTGATCCGAAGCAGCTTGATCGTGCTAAGCGTGCCTGGGCGAACGAGGACGGCTACGAGTACGTTTCCTCAGACCAAGCTATGGGGATTGAGGATGATTGCGACTCAGATTCATCAGGCAAAACTCCGACCTTTGAATCATACTCCACCGTATACTCCGATGAACAATCTTTTCAACCTTGCGGCGTACAACAAGCATGCTTTACACTGTTTGACGTCCTTCCGCTTGTTGAAAGAAGACTCGAGAAGTCGCCGCGTAAATACATCTTGCACCATTTCGACATTTCAAAACAAAACGTTCTATTGAACGACGACAGAGACGCAATTGCTCTGCTGGATTGGGAGAACATTGCCACAAAGTCGCTGTCCCAGATAGATCCCTGGCCGTCCATCATCGACTCTACTAGGTACGACTTACCGGAGCCGTGGCAGGAGAGCACACCGAAACCCAGCTGGCGTCTTAAGGCCGAAAAGAATTACACTACCCGTCTGACTGCAGACATTTTCATGTCGCGACTCAAGAAACTCCAATCGCCGTGGCCACAGATTGATACAACGGGCGCGGAGGAGAACTGTGTAGACATGTTCGAGGAGGATCTCGCAGAGCTGGGGGCTGTGGCTGAGAGATTATACGCTTCGTGGGGTGAGACGGAGATCTGTGACAGAATTAGGGAGAAGTGCGGTGATGCCTTCCTACCTCTTGCGGTCCAAGCCCCCAGAGTGACAGTAAGGGAGGATCATCAGACGAGTCCGCGACATTATTCCTCATTCCGCCATATTATATCCAATCGCTTGAAGTTTATAATTCATCGGAAGGGCGATGTGCGGAAACAGTAGCGGTCATGACAGTGAGGCGGCTTCCAAGAATGCCAGAGACACTCGGCCTGTGTTGCCGCTGTAGGTTGTGTTTCGAGAAAGCGCATTTCGATCGCCATGTTCTCAATGAGAGGAAATTTCTGAAGTCTCGAAGAAAGCAAGATTCCTGGTCTAGCCGTTATTTGTCAGGTCGATTTACTGAGTCACGTCTGTGCGGCGTTTTTCTTTCCCACTTGCAGAAATTAGGACGGGAATTGTTCCATGGTGGTTAATCCCATTCACCTGCACTCTTGACCACTGCTCTAGATCTGATTATAGTCTGCTTACTCTCTTGCATCTGGTTGTATTTCGTAAATTTCCCTTGTATAGGCTTCGCGCGACAGTTAGAGGGACTTCATTTTCTTATATGAGCAGATGATCTTGTAGCTACTTACTTTTTATCCTTCGTATACCCTTGCTGTAATATTAAGCGTCTCGAACACTTTCCGAATTCTCTCTCTCAGCATACATATGGCAAATGTAATGTCTGTCTGGCTAGATAGAAATTATCGCGAATAATTCGACGTATATGTTTATTTAGGTTGAGAGAAGGTATTCTACGGACATGCACACATAGTATTCTTCATATCCTAGGGAACAAGTACTTATTAAAACAAAGCTTCTATCAAGAGAATAAACTATTATTCCCGGCTGAAAGAAAAGAGAAGGCTATGCTACCCTTTTTTTCTTCATATCATGAAACCTTTTGTAGTCTTCGCTTGTTGCAGTATTACTCCATATCTTTGCCATCAATTCGTCAACGTCTTTTTTCTTACTCTGCATCTCAGCCTCCTCGTCATAACCAACCTCGCTTGTATCTAGATTTATCCATGTATTATCTGCGCGGATGATGACAGTCATCGTCTTTGGTTTACTTGTTCCCGGAGTTTGTTTGTCGTTCTGCGCCGCCGACGACCAACATGCATCGAGGAAGACAGTGGGTGAAGGCGTAGCGTTCTCGTGGATTTGGACATCGCAGTACGAATGTGATTTAGGTTTGCCCGAAACCGATCTGCTTTTAGACTCGCGGTTCGATTGCATCTGGATGCAGTAATAATGTCCATCGTCCCTCGTACTTTTCGTCTGCATGTCGAAACGAAAGGAGTCGTAGCCGGTCATATCCTCAAACTCATCGATTCGCTTGCCATTCTGCTCCTTCATCCAAACTCGCTGCTGGATATGCTCCAGACTCAATAAGGTAAGGTATGCTTGAGCTTGATAAGGACGTGTTTTTATCACCTTTTTCTCCTCTCCCTTCTAGATGTAGGTGTCTTTCATAATGTCTGCTCCGTAAAAATGGGTTTCCTGGGCATTTTGGTTGGGAAGAGCGCCATACCTTAGATGTTGACACTGAGGTGCTGTCGAAACAAAACTTTGAACCTAGAGTAACTGCGTTCAAAACTGTAGTCCTTGTGTCTGACCAGATGTAAAGGTAGAGGATGTTGCAAGAGCACACAACTACGATGTAATCTATAGGAAACGCATCAGGCTGAGACAAAAACAGCCGTAACACTAATGCGCGTATCCGAAGCTGCGGGATTTTTTCTGAATTTGGTGTTCTGTCGGCCAGACAGAGTGCTCCACGTAGCTCCTGCATGTTGTGCTTATCTTCAGCCTTGTATGAATATTGTTGCGTACAGACGCCTTTATAGCAGGGAGCATCACAGGCATGACCCGAAATCGGTGGATAGGTAGGATAGGTGGATGTTTGCCTCTGTCGATAGGCCTCTAGGGATAGGTGGATAATGCCACGATCCCAATCGGCTGTCCTGATCGATTTATCTCTGCACTACCTCGTGCTTTTCCCCTTCCACGTGATCTGCGAATAGCCTCACCTACCTCAGAATACCACAGCAATCTATCTAAGTCTTCATGAAAGGATAGCATAGTTTATGCTAACTGTGATTGATGCTTAAATACCTTCAATCTTCCCTATTCCTCCGACAATAGCATTTCCACATTCTCCTTTACTCCATGCTCTTCTTGCGTCTGACACAGTCAGTTCGTCTAACCGTTGGGCATGTCTAGAGATATACTACATGATGTGGAGAAGGGCCTTGCAAAGTGCTTCAATATAATGGTTGAGGTCTGCTGATTGGGTTTAACGAATAACTGGAAGAGGCTTGAGGCATAATAAGGGAAGACGATGGGCAAATGATTATCAATATCGTGTGTTGTTCGTTAACAACTTAGATTAAATACGAGACTCTATAAGGGTCCCTCAAGGTTCTCTACATACTAAAGATGTGGACAAGTTGGTATCAGGTAATCCCAACTAAGTTCCAAGCTACGGGGTGTGTTACTTCTCGCAACCGCCTTGAGATTATCTTTCAACCTCTTCTTTTACAATTATTTGCCTTAGATATTCGACATAGATGTAGATTGTAAAACCAGCTTTCTCAGTATTCAAATTCACTTTACAGAAACACGGTGTTCCCCAATTGTAATAGATTGTGCCTACTTCTACCCTGAAAAAACTATCCGAACTCTGTTCTAAATCCTTACATTCACCCTACCCCAAGTGTGGTAAACCTGTAGTTCTTGTTGAGCCCTCCCCTTCGTATAAGACAGTACCTTTATACTGGGGTTCACTGATAAGCTTCCATTTTTCTCAAGCAAAACATCCTTGCTATAACAACAATTGGCTTCAACGATCAAATTGGCCCTGTTGTTATAACGAGACTGCCATGTACAGAATTCTTAGGGCAGATTACACCATAATATCCTAGCGAACTCCTCAATAACGACGACCACCCTTCTTAGGCTTAGCAGCCGGCCTGACCGCCTTACGTAGGAGCCTTGGATAGTCGCAAATTCCAACACGAGCTCGTCTGCATACACCATAGGCGCCAGAAGCATTCTTAGAGCCTGGCCCGTAGCCGGGTGACCAGGTGAACTGTCCGCTGGCGTTTTCATATGCCATGACTTGGGATGCACTGGTAGCACCATAGACCATGTGTTTGATGGCCGTAATTCTGCGGGTCTGGAGTCCGTGATGGAGTCTGGGAATTTCAAACTGCGTAAAAAAGGACTTTGCTCCTTCTGTCTGCCATTCGATAGCTCCGAAGACCAGGACTTCTCCGGTTGCGACCGAGGCCATGGCTGAGGAAGATGCCTCGGCATCGTCAACATCCTTGGTTTCGTCGAAAGCTTTGTACCATGGGTGATTGAAGTCGGGCGCATTGAACATAGTATCGTAGGAGGCATAGCCACGGTTTCTTGCTAGAAAGTTTTTGACTTGGTCTTCTGACTGACCGCTGTAGAAGATATAGCCATTGGGGATCGGGAAGTAATTGATGAGATATTTTTGATACCTCGATTCAGATATGGAGGTTTGTCGTGCAACGAGGGTCTTGCCAACGTCGTCAACAGGCAGAGGGGTGGCAGTTGCAATGTTCAATAGAGAAAGAAAAAGGAGGAAGATTGCAGTCAGGCTTGACCAGCCGAAACGGGAAGGAGTCGCCATCATCTTGGTTCGCGTGCGCCAAATGAAAGCAGGAGAATCCTTTATTCTTGCGTGTTCTTACAAGCGGCTGTGGATAGGTAGGACGGTAGGGGGAGAGAGTGGGCGAAACAGAGTAGTTGAAAGTGAGTGACTGAAAGAGAGTGATTGAAAGAGAGTGGTCGAAAACAAATGTTCGAAAGCGAATGTCCCACGGCTGTGGTATAGTAAAGATCGTAATAGTTGGCTGGATAGTGTGGGTTGAGAGCAACATAGCTGAGGACTTTGACTTCTCTTTATATGTGTAAAGCGTATTCATGGAGGTAACGATCAATGGGTCGTAGGAAATCCGCAATCCTGCACAATCGAGCTTAGCAGACCTCATTCATGAGAGACTATGCGGTAAGAATTAGTGTGTCGCGGAACTCCTGTGTCACGATCAATGATCAACGGGTTGGACTCTGGCTGAAGATGTAAAAATTAGTGGTTTCCTGTAGTCCTGCATCGCGATCAACAATCAACAATGAACGGGTTGGAATCCGGCCGAAAAGCTAACAATTATCTCGCGGAAGTCCTGTGTCACGAGCAACGATCAGTGGGCCGAACTCTGGCTGAAGAGGTAAAAATTAATGGTTTCCCGTAGTCCTGTGTTGCGATCAACAATGAACGGATTGGACTCCGGTTGAAAAGGACACAATTATCTCGCGGAGGTCCTGTGTCGGGATCAACGGTCAACGATCAACGGGCCGGACTCCGTCTGAAGAGACGAGAATTGGTGATCTCGACGGGTTTTAGAAGGTCCGTGAACTTAACTCCCAAAAGGGCAACCCCACCCTTACATATATAGTAATAGAGAAGTGGTATCCTTATTAGGGTCGAAACCTTCTTGTTTGACACACCAGCACTGCAATCATTATCATCATCACCACCACCACCACCACCACCACTGCTGCTGCTATCATCACCACTATAACATGACGATGCCTCAATTAACTATGGCAGATCTCAAGGAATTCCCAAGTCTCTACGCCTCGCCCAGAGAAGTAGGTGATGTCCTCGTAGGCGAGGACGCTGCCCACCTTCTCATTCAAGCGAGCTCGTCTGGCAACGCCGCAGACTTACAAAGCTTGCTACTCGAACCACAATGGATCAAGACAATTCTCGACGAACCGCACTGCATCTATTATGAGAGCCGTCCAAGTCAAGGTCCGAACGATGCGCGCGAGGTGACAGCAAGGCGAATGTCAAACTTAGAACGGGCTTTGACAGTAGCGACACAGAATGGCCAAGCTGCTGTTGTGTCTACATTACTTGCCTTCGCAACACGCCAGGGCATTGATGCTTCTGACTTCATAACGAGACCGATAATCAACAAAGTCATCATTGCTGGTCACGCTGCTGTATTCAAGGCTCTAGCATCTGCAGACCCGACCATCATCAACTTCCCCATGGGCCACGGCACGCTGCCGCTTTACGAGGCCGTGCGGCGAAGGCAACCCGATCTAGTGGCTGTACTGCTCGGGCTTGGGGCAGATCCTTTGCATTCTGTTGAGCAGTCGAAAAGACTTGGGAGCTATAACTCGTCTCTGTTATCTCTCGCTGCAATGGCTGAAGGCTTGCGCATGACTGAGATGCTGTTGCAACATGGCACCCCTCTAGCTCATACTGGTGCGCTACATACTGCTGCACATTATGGTCATATTGATACTATGCGTCTCCTAATACAGCATGGCGCAGATGTAAACGAGGTCCTTTCTAATTGGCGGAGTTGGACGCCGATGCATTTTGCTGCCTTTAAGGGTCAAGTTGACGCCATGAAGCTACTAGAGCATTATGGGGCACGTTCTGATTTAAAGGACGTAGATAGAAAGACACCTGCACAACTACTAGAAGAGCGTAGTACGGCTTAGCATTAGGCTATAGTGCACTCTCACCGAAACGTCGTTGAGCGACGCTCAGGCAGGTGAGGAACACTACTGAAGGGAATTAGTCTCTATCTAACCGACATTGAGGCTGCTGGACGAGAAAGCGGTTAGCGAGCTGATATCTAAGATGGAAATAGTATTACGAATTCTAGGACACTAGTATCAGGCTGCTGCTCAGCAAGCCTTTCCAGCAGTACCATGGCTTACTAAGGGAAGGGAAGAGTTAAAATTAAGCTATAATTGAGTAGGATAAGAAAGAAGATCAAAGTTTACTTCCTTGAAAGCTAGTTCGTTTAGCTGCCCGGTGAACGTAGTCCTCGACAAAGGCCTCGTCAATGAACCAGTCCATGTATCTCTGCTGAAGGGCTAGGTCCACACCAGTCTCTGGGTCTACAGGGGCCTGCTTTCCAGTGGTGTATCTGGCGAGAGCGGCATCCGCATGTTCCTCTGCATCGTAGCCGTAGACATCCAAGACAGTCTGAGGGTCACCGTACAGATTTCCGCTGCGGACGTAGTATTTGCCATCTAATTCAGCGCTCATGGAGGCATCACGTGCCTCCTGTTGGGGTCCGTCTGGTAGATGCCAAATGGCGCCGTTGATGAAGGAAACCTGCTGCTTCAGATAGGCTTTGGGCATGCGCTCCTCTTCATAGATCTTAATAGCCTCTTCGATGCGAAGTGTACCGTCAACAACCTTACCAACACATCTAGCAAGAAAGGCGCCATCTTCCATCGAAGTGGCAGCTCCCTGTGCCATGTGGTTGACCATAGAGTGTGCTGCATCTCCCATCAGGACAACGTTCTTCCTGGGAGAAGACCAAGACTTCATGGGACCGGTGGCCATCAATGGCCATCGCGACTATTATAAGAAATGATGTGTTAGTAAGCGTATAGAGCGAGTCGGCTTGTGTGCATTCTTACAGTCTCAGGGATCATATCAACAACGCGCTTGATTGAGGGATCGAAGTCCTTGTACTCGTTTTGCATCTCCCAATAATGAACTCCCTACCTCGTTCATTATACTGACTATTTCGTTCCAGATCGTTGGTGCTATAATCATTGGATGTGCCACTAATACCGGTATGTTCATTGCCGGCCGAGCAGTCATGGGTATTGGTGTCCAGGGTACTCTAGTCGTTGCGCCAGCCTTGTTGGCAGAGATTGCTCACCCTCGATACCGTGCAAGAATCAGCGCCCTCTGTACGTTTATTAAACACGACGGATCTTGCTAGATACTAACGGAGCAACAGACATGAGCATCTACTACTTCGCAGCGATCTGCTCAGCAGCTGTTTGCCGAGGCACTCTGCGCCTGGTTGGTGAAAAGGCCTGGCGAATTCCATGCTTCCTACAGATTGTCGGGCCCGTCGCCACTCTCCTCATGACTGCAACGATCCCTGAATCCCCAAGAGTAAGTAGATACAGAACAAGTTAACATCATCTAACCGTCGTTACAACCAGTGGCTCTGGAAACAAGGCAGGCATGAGAAAGCGCTCTCCGTTCTCGAGAAATACCACGCAAACGGAAGTACCGAGGACCTATTGGTAGCATACGAGTACCGCGAGATCCGGGAAGCGCTTAGACTCGAAGAAACAAACTCACAGATGTCTTACACGGATTACCTCAGGAGCCCTGGCAACCGTCGACGACTTCTTATTCTTGTCTTAGTCTCTCTGGGAACGAACTGAGTCGGTAACGGCATCGTTTCGTACTATCTCAGTCCCATCTTGTCCAGTCTCGGCGTCAAAGATACCAACTCGCAGCTTAACATTCTCATTGGTCTGCAGGTCTGGAATTGTGAGTAACATACCTTTCAGTTCATTTTAACTCGATCAGTTTTGACTAAAAGCCTGTAGTCTTTGCCTCCTCCTCGGCCGCGTTCGGAGTGGACAAGTTCGGCCGCCGTCCTCTCTGGCTAAGCTCCACCACTGGAATGTTGATATGCTTCTCAATTGTGATGGGCCTCTCAGCAGGGTAGACTGATGTGGGAACTACAGTTATCCCATTCCTGTTTCTATATAATGGAGCCTACGATAATGCTTGGACAACATTATCATACTCGTATCCGGTCGAAATCCTCACCTTTTCTATGAGGACTAAAGGCCAGGCTATTTTCGTCTTCCTCCAGACTTTAGGCATGTCTGTGAATACCTGGGTCAATCCAATCGCTCTTGACGCCATCCAGTGGAAATAGTAAGTTCTTGTATATTGCGTACAGTCTCTACCGTTACATTGTCTGATTCTAAGATTAGTTATGGCGTATACATCGCTATCCTCGTTGTTGTACTTGTCATCATCTACTACTTCTTTCCTGAAACCAAGAATATGACTATCGAAGAAATCGCCATTCTCTTCGATGGCGACCGAGCTGCCGGAATTGCTAACATCGCAGGTGGAGAACAGGAAGAAAGCAACAGGATCCAGGATGAAAAGGTCGGTCGTGACGTTGAACAGATCTCAGTCGCTACCGCGTGATATGCTACGAGTAATGACGAGAGGTCTGAAACAGCCTGCAGATTATTCGATACCAATTTTTGGGATCCACGTATTGAATCCGAAGGAAAGGTATGGTTTGTCGTAGTTGCTGGATATTGTTGTACATTATTCTAGAAGCAGTTTAGCTAGTACGAATAATGACAAGCCTGTACTGCAATCAGAGGACTCAGAAAAGGCATCGCTAGCAGTACTGTAGTTGCTTTATTCGCCTATGGAAGACACCTAGATACAGCATGTACCAGCTTGATAAATACTGCCTCAATGGCTTCATGTCTTCTTCTTACACCATTATAGCAGTCTCTTGATCATGTGCTAAACAATGCAAAAATAGAAAGTAAGTTGTGAATGTATCGAAATAACATCACAGATCCAACAAGTCCTTCTAAACATAATGAACAATCAGCAAGTACATTGGGTTTTCGAGGTGGTTCGATACTCGAAGGATGAAGTCGACGCATTATCATATGATAATGAAAGTAAAATACAGAAATAAACTTACAGCCAATGGTTGGCACAGTCTTGTTTATCTACTTCGAGCGGATCGCTTCCCCCTTGATATTGTAGCAGCTTTGAATCCTAATCCGGTAGCAACATTCCCCACAACACTGAATCAAACACAACCTGCTGTTTTCTTTAATGTTCTACTGTTGAGTTTTTATTAAGTGATGATATTATTTGCATGAAGGCGAACACTATAAAGCCTCTTCTGGCTGAACAGTTGGGAAGGATCAGTGAGTAGACTGAAAACCTGTATCAGCTACCTTATGGTAGAGATCAGCGTCATGCATGAAATGAGGTTTTTGCCTCTAGTGGATCGCTCTGGCTTTGCTGCTCACATCCCCCTCTATGATTCATTTGATATAGAATGGCTCGCTGCCAATATTACTACAAGTACGCATAGTCGCTTAAAATGCCGGTTCTGGTTGTACAAGTACAGAAAAGTACAGAGGGTTGACACGTCGGGTTGACCACCTGCTAGTATATATGCACCCTTTAACCTTAATAAGTTTCTTTACAGCGTCTAAGAGCAAATAAGAGGCTATACATGCACGTATTGTTCCTTGTATCTGCTAAAAACGCTAGCAGGTGTTCAACCCGACGTGTCAACCCTCTGTATCTGTAACCCTGTACTGTACTGCAAACACGAATCAGTCAACCATCATGCATGACTGCCTCGGTTGTTCATGCCCTGGATTCCGCTACACCCGCCTGCCGCTACACCCGCCTGCCGCCATCCCCGTCATGGTATACCCCAAGGATTCATTTCTCTCTACATCAACTTTCTCCATAATTTCTACTTTGCTCCACAGAGACTTTACAACAATTCGTGCTTGGCTTCGCCCCGACGTTATTCCATAGTAAACGAATGTTGCCCCGCGGATAGGACGAGAACTTGCGCGCTTGAATTAGTTTCTACGTTACTCGGTCCACATCTGGTCCGCATATTTCTTCCCGCTACACCCGCCTCCAGTGGATCCGGATATTCGTTCCCGCACTTATGTTCATGCACAAGAATTGAGCCTACATAATAAGAGTCCAAGCATCTCAAGCGCGTGATCCGATTCCTGTTCGACAAGTGCGTTTCAATCTTGATGTGGTCGACTAGCTACTGACGGTGTCAAAGTATTGTATTGTCACAGCAACAGCATATTACAACTTAATCACACGTTGAAATCATTACAATCCATCGCAACTCTTCCACATGTACACGTCTATGTAGCAGTTGATTCAGCTGCTTAGAGGCAAGAAATTCATGATGGCCGAACTCGATGCTATTTTAGAGAAGTATACGAATCCAGATACAGGAAGTATCCATGGGGCCTCCTTCGTAGCTGTTGATAGCACAGGTATGTTGTTCTGTTTATCATATTTTATACCCCCCCCCCCCTACTGCATTTGTCAGATCAGGCCACGGCATGATCATGAGAAGGATCCCATATGAGACTTATTTGAGCATCAATGGAACGTATTTTATCACCATTGTGCTAACCTCGATCTTGACTCTATGTAGGTAACGACATTTATTGCAAATCATTCGGTTACAAGAATGTTAACGTCAAGAACTCCAAGCGGCTCACATTGGATACGCCATCATGGATTGCTAGTCAAACAAAGCTCACGACTTCCGTGGCGGTCATGCAAGTCGTTGAGAAGGGACTAATAGGACTTGATGACGACGTCCGAGACGTTCTTCCCCAACTCAAGGACTTGAAAGTTCTCATTGGGTTTGAAGGTGAAGGGTCCATCGCTGAGACGCTCGCTACCTCAGGTGATGAAGGACCGTACAGCTCAAAACCAGTTGAGAAGCCCAAGGGGCCACCGATCTTTGAAAAAATCATGGGCAAACTCACTCTACGGTAAGTTAAATTTTGACTCTCATACTGAGTCTTGGTTTTGAGTAGGGCCAGACTACTCATCAATTTGTATTTAGACACTTGATCACACACACATCGGGATTTTGCTACGATTTGGCTGACCCACTCCTCATCAAATATTCTGCTTGGACAGAGCGCAAAGACAACATGTTTTCCGGAACCATGCAAGGAAACCTTCACCCCCTCATCTTCCAGCCAGGATCATCGTGGAAGTATGGCCCAGGCCTCGACTGGGCAGGAACCATTGTTGCGAAGCTTACTGGTCTGGACTTCAACGAATACCAACAGAAACACATCTGGGGCCCACTAGGTGCAAAGAACACAACCTTCTTCCCAAATAGGGAGGGTCTCGAAAAGGAAGACCTTCATGAAACAGGCATCCGTGCTGAGGGGGAAGGCACGCAGGGTCTCAAGCCTGGAGACTGTCTCTGGAGATTGAATTCACGTGATGCCCTCGGTGGAGCAGGATTGTTCTCCACTCCCAACGATTACAAAAAGCTCCTTTCCGCTCTCATCTCTGAAGGGGGGCCATTGCTTAGCAAGGCCTCTGTGGATGAAATGTTTCGTCCTCAAATTGGGCCCGAATCTACCCTTGGTGCGCGAGCGTTCCTGAAGGGCACGAATCTGGATAACACTCAATCCAATTTGTACACGGATAGATATGATGAATGGGAGAATTTCCAGGAGATTGGGCATTGTCTGTGCGGTATCGTCACCACTGAAGATGTTTTCGGACGTAGGAAGAAGGGCTCTATCAACTGGTCGGGGTTGCCAAATCTTATCTGGTGGATCGATCGCGAGAGTGGTGTAGCCGCAACTTTCTTCACTCAATTATTACCAGTGGGTGATCACGCTCCACGGAGGCTCCAAATAGAACTAGAGGCTGCTCTCTACAAAGCAATCAACGGCAAATAGATTCTACAGTAGGAATATAGATAACGAGAAATTAGTCTCCCTGTATTGGCGTTCCTCAGAACATGCAGTAGTGCCTTTTTGTAAGTTCAGAATAAATGGAGTATAGCAGATTCGGGGTTGATTATTGAAGGATGTAAAAGCGTTTTATCAGACCTGGAATACTCAATGGACTACCTGCAGTAGTAATCAACTGGTAACTAATTAATCAACTAGTAATCAAGTAATCAATCAGGGATTAATCAACTACGTATAATTGTATCCAAAAGCAATCAAATATCTACAAGCCGGAGGAAGGAGAGCGGAGAGGCTGAATTGAACCCATGCTGAAATGTCTACCTACAAAATTGATCAGTAACCAACTACATGATCGATCAGCCTCCTGTAGTAGTGATCAATCAGTGGTTACTCAACCAACTCAATAGCTGATTCCGAATCTGCCCGACCCATATATTCAACTAATCAGAGCGCGTGAATAGCCTCCTGGACAACCAATCCAGATCAGGGCGCACAGATCCGTGGACTCAGCAATTCCAAGATTGAAGTCCGCGTGGTAAAGAAACTCGTTCCTCGCCTCAATTAGCAGGTTTACTGATGGGGAGATTATCCGTCTTGCTCAACACGATGTATCTGTCTGCAGCCCAAGAAATCTCAGTAGCAATACGCAATTTGTGTTGTTGGGCCTGAGTTGGCTCTTCATATTCCCCTTTTGGAAATCTTCGGCAAATGGAGTCTTCAGTCTCTACAACAGCAGCCCGCCCAATTGCATTATTGGAGGGGTTCTCAAACTTGTACGTCCGGTACTCACAATTCTTCCAGCCAGTTCCTGTAATTTCCGTCAGTAAGAATAGACATCAAGGAGCAAGTAGCAACTAACCAGAGCCACTGCTACTTCCTTCCCAATCTTCTGTGAAATAATGATTGACACCTCCATGTGCGACAATAGCTACAGTTCCCTCTGCTTCATCGCGGATGATTTTCCTCGCCTCACCCGCACGTTGCTCCGTCAGGTCTGTTGTTGGCCTGAAACGCCCTTCTTTCTTATCATTCCAGCCTTCAAACAGACGTGATAAGTCTACAGGCTCGCTCTTGAACTCCAGGCGCAGTTGTGCAAGCGATGACCCGGTATCGCAAGCAAAATCTGAAGTCTCTTGCAGCTCTGGTAGTGCAATAATGCGGAGGTCGGGACGCAGGTGAAGCACTCCTCGGAAAGTGAGAAGTGCAGTCTGGAGAGTGCGACGCATCGGGGATGCGTAGATACAAGTGATCGAGCTTATATTTGGTATCTTGTAGGCAAGTGCAAGACTTTGTTGTTCACCCTCGGGTGTAAGAGAAGTGTCCGGTAGATCGTAATCTTCATGGAGATTATGGTCGGCTTGACCATGGCGAATAAGGTGCAGTACAGTTGGTGCCATATGTATGTCGGGTGTATGAGGAATATATGTTTTAGAGATTGCGGTAAAACGATATTAGATATAGATTCAATAACTTCTGTAGATCGAAAACTATCACCAAGAGAGAAAGAAGAGCGAACTGTGTACATGCGATAGAGAGTCGATAAAAGTGATAAAACGCCTGTAGAGTACTGCAAATGTAGATTTATGCAACGCTCACGCATTAGCACAAGTAGAGTTTACATGCAAGGCATGTAACTCACTGCCCCGATTAGGCAAAGGCGCTTGCTCATGATCAGCACTAGATCTAAGATAAGAAAAGTTCCTTTATCAACGAGCAGTACGAGAGCTGTATGTGTTGAAAGTCCAGGCTTCTCACCTTGTACAACGCTTCTTCAAGTCATCTGTAATGTAGAGATAGAAATGGGACCGAGCCACAGATGTTACGAAACTAACCTAACTTCATTAATTCCAGAGTATAGCAAGCTAAAAATGAGGCAACAATGAATGCATTATAATCGCACACTTCCGTTTACTAATTACTGTATTACTAAAGATATTCTTTGTCTAGACTCGAAAAACTATAGACTCGGAGACTACGCTAGCAGTAGACACTACACCAGACAGATAAGGCAGCCAAGACGCAGTGGCTACATATCAAATGATGCACCGAGAAGAACACAGATTTTGGTTGATGCTGAACGAACTTCGCATCGCTCTCCCCTAAACTTTCCCCCATGTCTGCTACAAATATTGTGCATGTTGTTCTGACCTTTATCTCGAAATCTATAAAACTCTCTTCCTTTAACCATAAAGAAAAACAATTTTTCATCATCTTCTTAGCTATATATTCAGATCATGTTACACATACCATCAGACTCGTCGCAAGCTAGAAGCAATCCTTCATCCGTAACGCCAACTGTATTAAACAACGATCTCTGCAGCACGCCCAATATTGTTGTATCTTGTCCATCTACATATGAGGATGGCGCCTCTGATACACCTGGAGAGCCATTGGAATTATGCATCGCGAGACTTGGCCGTGAACGCCCACTGGCTTTTACTAGTATCTGGGCTGAAGCTGCTTTCATCTTCAGCATCATGATGTCTCAATTCCTGACAGAATACTTTGTCTCGGGCTTTACACTCATTCTTCCAACTTTGATACAAGAGCTGGATATTCCACATGCAGCTGCTGTATGGCCTGCCAGTGCATTCTCGCTTGCTATCGCCAGTACATTACTTATCTTCGGCCGCCTGGGAGACATGTGGGGAGGCTATCCTGTCTACCTCTGTGGTCTTGCATGGCTATTAATATGGAGTATCGTCGCGGGCTTCAGCATTAATCCACTTATGCTTGACTTTTCCAGGGCACTTCAAGGGCTTGGTGCAGCTGCGGCTCTCCCAACAGGAATTATGCTCATGAGCTCGATGTACCGACCGGGGCCCCGAAAGAATTTTGTTTTCGCTATCTACGGAGCATCAGGCGTCTTCGGCTTCTTTGGGGGCATTGTCCTCGCAGGTGTTGTCGGTCAATTCTTACACTGGGGTTTCTACTTCTGGATCGGTGCTATCTTGACAGGCGCTGCGTTGATCTCCTCATACTTCTCGATCCCACACGCTTCAATAGGGCAAGGAGGCAGTATTGGAGTTAAGATGGATTACCTTGGTGCGATTTCTCTCGTATTCGGCCTGATTCTTACCGTTTTCGCTATTACGCAATCCTCGCATGCTCCTACAGGATGGCGGACGCCATATATCGCCATTTGCTTTTCTCTTGGTGTAATATTTCTCCTGTCTGCTGTATATATTGAGGCGAGGATTGCATCTCAGCCTCTCCTACCAGCCTCAATTGTAACTATTCCTTCGATGACACCTCTCCTCCTCGCCATCCTCATTCTCTACGGGTGCTGGGGTATCTTCTCTGTCTATGGAACTCTTTTTTTCCAGAATGTGTGGACTATTTCCCCGCTACAAATAGCTGTGTGGTATATTCCCCTTGGCGTAGCCGGCCTTCTCTTTAGTGTTCTGGAGGGTTTCATCTTACACCTTGTTCCTGGCCGAGTCCTTTTGATCATCTCTGCGCTATGCGCACTGGGAGCACAGCTTCTTCTCGCTTTGGTCCCACTCGATGGATGGAATTATTGGGCATGGATATTTCCAGCCACGATTTTTAGCACCATCGGTATCGACTTTCCTACAATTCTGATGACAGTTTTCATTACAACAAAACTTCCTCGTGCGCAGCAAGGATTGGCAGGTGGAGTCCTAAATTCCGTTCTTCAACTTGGAGTCGCGCTTTCTCTTGGGTTGACAGATATTCTCCAGTCGGCTGCCGTAGGCAAGGTAGGCTTGGCACAAAGTTACAAATACACCTTTTGGTTCGGCATTGGCGCAGCGGCCGTGAGTTTGGTACTAGTAGCGGTTTGGGGAAGTGTACCTAAGGCAACAAGTGATTTAACAGCAGACGAGAAGCTGGAACTGATGCAAGAAGCTGAGAGGGAATTAAACAGTGTTTCTTAGGCTAATTGTTCGGATTTTCAACATTCGTGTATAGAATGCAGTTAACAATATTAGAACCTGCAGTCTTATATTTAAGGACTCTAGGTTTTAAGATAGTTTGTCTCTTGTATGTTGCGTTTAGATTAGATAAGCAAAGTTATCTAATGTTGAAACTTAAGTACAATAATTGCAAACAACCAGAATTGTACAGAATAATGGAAAAGTATAAATCCTTTTTCAAGCATGTACTTATAACCATGATGCCTACTTCTGCGCTTTTGTTCTGCAGAGATATATTCCTTGAAGCTGCTTAGGAACTATCCTGCTTTTCAGTAGAGAGGAACCAGGACAAATCTCTGCCCTCTATCTCAGCCCTCTATCTCAGCCCTAGTCCTTCTATCACTAAGGAACTGAAACCGATTGGTAGTGCGGTACTTAAAATTCCAATCTTCCCATCGACTTTGACTAATAGACTCCAGGAAGTGAGGTCCAGATCCGGGCCAAGGGCCCTATACCTTACCATCAACAGTACCGTTCTTGTACCACGATCGGCAGCTAGAGGTTCAGACAATGCCCTTGACAATGTTATCCTTGTATTCTTGGAAGTCATCAACAGCATCCTGCTTGATAGAGATAGACTTGATATTCTCTGTCATGATTCTTTCTGCAGTATTAAAGGCATATCTAATGTAGGCCTCGAGACAAGGAATAAAAGTACCATGGGCAGCAGGGGCATTAGGACCTGCATGTAATGGGCTGGTGCCCAGGAGATATACCCTGGATGAGATCCAGTGTAGTAATCGCGATAAAGCGCCGTGAGAACAACTAACGACTACCAGCTGCCCGTCGAGGGCACTTGGTGGCCAGTGTAGTTGAGTACTTCTCCTGAGTTTCCTAGTTAGAATTAGCGTGGTTTTCGTAAGGGATTCTTATAATCCCTACTCGAGGCTCTCTAAGACCTCTATCGAATTCATTACTGTTATCAGGTATCTGCAAGCTCTGCGCAACCCTTACAATAAGCAGCTTTCCCACGAGCAACAAACAAAGCACCAGCTGCGAAAAGGTGTGCTTAACAAACATGTGGACACCTACTTTTAAAGTCCTAAATTCTAGGGAGAGTTTATATGTTGCTATCTAAGCTGTTCCTGCAAGCTAAGTGGCAAGATGCATTTTAAGAGGCATTTATTAGAGGTACACTAAGTATCTTATTAAGGCGCGCAGAGGCTAGCTACGTAGATTAGAGAAGGAGATTGTATAATTCAGTTTAAGAGGCATGCGCTTATTGAGTACACCGCGAAGTAGTGATATGTACGGAAGCTTGACAAAGCAGCTACTAACCAATGGTCTTTTATAGGGCAAGTTTAGATTACAGGGGGTTGCATGGTTTCTGACATCATGAGGAGAAGCAGGGGCTAGATTTTTCATGAAATTTCTACATGGAAGTCTTAACAATGACCATCCTACAAAAAACCTGGAATCCTTCCTAAAGAGTCTAACGTCTGTCCCTGCGTAACGAAAAACCCGCCATGCCGAAAAGGATTCTACAAATAGTCAGACTGGATCCTCCAATTTAGTGGAATTAGGGTAATTTGAGTTTTAAGGTGTCAATCAAGTACGTCTGCTTCTACAGCTAGTAGAAACATAGAAAATTACATGATCCATTACTATGCTGTTAATCTTTTTGTGATCTACCTGTATGACTTCACCTATTCTAAAGTTATATAATAATATACACCTCTATTAATTATGTTTATTGGTGCAGCTAAAATAATCTTCACCTATCTACAAAAGCCGTCAGGTTTATAATCTAGGAATGTAGTCCGAATTTATCTGGCAAGAGAGGCACTGAATAGCTCTTGGCAGGCAATTTGACACTTAACCTACAAGGCTTAGCGTATGCTGTCTAAGTAATGTAAATTACACATGCACCCCTAATCCTGGATTAAACAATATGAAAACTGACGCAATCCGCACAGCTACACATTCTCTAGTAAAAATACTTACGTATCATCGCACATTAGCCCGAACCAGTGGTTCGCTTCCGCCAGAAGTACTAATCGACGGGGCGGCGCTGCATGAGATCGCGCCCCGCAGCGCGCATAGGGATGATGATCAACTTCCTGACGTCAGTGGTAGTGCTAGGATAAGGCTAATCTACCAAAACTTGAAGCGAAGAAGGCTTGAGGTTGGCGTTAGGAAAAGGGAAGCCTGTTATGGTACGACACAAAGCGCTCCACAGATTAGTCGCAGAATCTACAATGTAAACGTGCTTTTTGGGCAAAGTGGATTATGAACAAGGCGTTCACTATAAGGCATGGAAAACCCTTGATTAATGATCTTTAAGATTTAAATAATTTATTTCTGTCTATCTTCTGCCCCCTTTGAAACAGTATATAACAAAGATGTAAAATGTAAAATGCAATATATGTTCCTACTTTGCTGAAAACTCAAAGCCTTTAGGGTTTGTGGAAATCGACAGTACACAGCTATACCTTTCCAGATCCTACACCAATACCAAGCGTATTACCTAACACAGCGGAGGAAGAAGGACGATACTCTTGCGGAAGCCACAGTAAGTTCTTCGAGTTAAATGTTATCCATATGTTATCCGAACTGAGTGCCGTATACTTATATCGAGGTGACTGAGGTGTTGCGACCGTGGATGTAGTATTTGGGGTTTCTAACGAACTCAGGGCAATGGTACCAATGTTACTATAAAGGTAGGAGCCAGTGATGTTAAAGGATATATTATGAAGTGTTCGGCCCATGTCGAGCGTGTGCAGGCACGCGCTGCTGTTAACATTCCAGATCTTGACCGTCTTATCATACGACGCCGACGCTAGCTGCGTCGAATCGTGAGAGAAGGCTACTAAGGAGACCAAATTGCTATGGCCTTCGAGCGTCTGCAGGCACGCGCCGCTGCTAGCATTCCAAATCTTGACTGTCTTGTCGCCCGACGCTGACGCTAGCTGCGTCGAATCGTGAGAGAAGGCTACTGAAGAGACCGAATCGCTATGGCCTTCGAGCGTCTGGAGGCACGCACTCCAGCTGACCGTCATGCCCGGGTTGATTTTGATAAGCTTAGATTTGTTGTCTTGAAAAAGCTTTCTGATCAAGCTGCCTGTTGGACTAAAGAGGAGCGCAGACCTGTATGCTTGAAGAGGGGAGTTTTCTATTCCTTGCTTATGATACATAATGAATTAATGCGCATCTTGAATTAGTTTGATTAGCTCAGACGCATTCGTTTTTCCCTAGGCATGGTCAGGATGCATCATCAGTTTCTAGAATTCCTAGCTTTATGTTTACCTGGATTAGAGTCTTAAGTTTGTGTTAGAACAAGGGGCAATTCCTGCCACCTATACTGGCTAGTGGCCTGAGTGGCCCAGATTAGCTTAGTATGATTACATAATGCTCCCTATAACACTGGCTGAGAAACAATAAGTTTCCTCAGCGATTCGTCTCTATCATTTGGGGATAATAGAATTGACTCGATCTCACTATTGCTAATTGCCAACTTCTAAGTGCCCTGCAAACCAATCCTAACAGTTTGCCTATGGAGACTATGCCTTTCGACATATTTTTATATAGGCTAAGAGCCTCAAGCCAGTAGAGATATTTCTTCCTCAAGAACTCGTGAACAGCACCTCTATTCTGCAGGTCAGCTAAGGTATCTGTAGGAGCACTAGAGTTTAAGTTGCAGAGGTGATCTATCTAGTAAATGCAAGAGTAGCGCAGCGCTGCTAATGGATCTGGGTTTGGATGTATAACCTGCGCAGCAGAATATCTTAGCTCACCTAAGCTATACATGTCATGATGTAATGCAGACATAGCTTTGAAGGATCTAGAAAGTACAGCATAGTGGGCAGCTTTAATACTAGAAGAAAAGACGTTATAAAATGCCTCTGCGGATAAAAAGTCCTTTGCCGATTGATGCACAAAATAGACTGTGTCATTCTGTAGAGTGAGAAACGAGCCGCAGAGACCGATAATCTCCTGCTTTGACTTAATGTCGTCGGCCTCATCTTCGAACTCTTCGACAAGAGTGGACAGCTCGTCTAGTGTAAGTGGCTGATATGCAACTGCAGCTAAAGATAGTATCTGCTTGCAAAGACTAGCATCGTCTAAGTTGCTTATCTGCTGTATCATTCGTTCGTATAGTGAGACCAGGCCAGGCGGAAAGGCAATCAGCTTCTTTATGACGTTCCGCTTCGGGACTCCCTCAAGGGATTGGCATACCAACGCTACCCAAAGGAAAGTATCATTGGCATTAGAAGATAGATGATCGAACACGGCATCTCGTGTTTTGGCGTCGTATGTCTTCGACTCCGCTAGTTTGAACACTTTGTGTTGTATGAACGCGCTGACGGCGTAAGAGACAGACTGTGCGTTGAGTTCGAGGCTCAGCCTTACTTTGCGTCCTACCTTGCCCAGCCCCCCCTCAATGTTCTGCCAGTTGCGGCTCGAGACGAGCCATTTGACGTGGGAGGACGTAGACGACCTTTCAGCGATAAAGTCTACTAGTTTCGGCAAGTCTGTTATGCATTCATCGAGCGCGTCCACGATTAAGTACATGCACTTCAAACTAGGATCCTGCAGGATGCTTGTAAAGATATCCGTCAAAGCGACCTACGCATTCGCATCCTCAAACAGAGCTTCACCTGCTTGATCGTACTTTTTGCGAACGTGCGAAATAAGCGATGGCTGTTCACTAATAAGCATATACAGCAGTCCTCTTAGCACGGCTACGGCACTTCTAATGCGCGAGTCGGTTGCCTGGCAGAAGAAGTACGACAGAAGGCCTGTTGCGCCCATCGAACTCTGTAGTTCATCGATGATCCCACATAGTAGCATTGTCTTGCCCTTGCCGGGGTCGGCTTTGACCCACAATAGTTGGCTCTGCGGCTCATCTCGCCACTGTCGGAAGTCCAGGTTGTCGAGAACCCAGCGGTACGAGTTCTTCAGCAGTCCACCTTTGGTCTCCTCGATACGCTTCTTATCGTCGCGGGGGTCAGTAAGGCGCAGGTCCGCCAGACACTTGTTGTCAGCGCTTGTCTCATGTATCCTCTCCTGCTGTTTAGTCTGCTCTCGAATGGCCGAGGTAATGCTATCTAGCTTAGCAATCTGAGACTTGGCTGTCTCAGCAATCGCACCGAGTCGATTCCGGATTGTGAGCGTATTGTACTGCGTCGAGTCCGTCTGCACCGCCGCCTCAGCTGCTTGTATGTCGCCCAGCTCGCCATCCCAGTCATCCAGCTTAATAAGGTCTCGTGCGAACACCGAAACCCGTCCACGGTGGTAGTAGCACACACTCTTCATCTGGTACAGTAGCAGCTTTGCATAAAGCTGGGTGACGCCCTTCTCGAGATCACCGCGCAGGCCGGGCGAATGTCCGTCAGTCATGTTCTCCTCCAACAACAGATCCGCAAGATTCCAGTACCATTCCATCCTCGATACAACGTAGGCGATGCCTCGCCGGTTGGAGCTCGCCTGGGTGAGTGGGTTCATCAAAATCTTGACCATGCACGTCAGTATCAGGCGGTCGACGCAGTCACAGTAGCACGAACCTCGAGCGCAAAGCAGACACCGACCCAGGCGATAGCCGCTTCGGGGGACGCCTGGATCGCTTTGTCCGCCACCTCTTTCACCGCCATGGCAGCCTGTATGCCGTCTTCCGTACCCTGTTTCACCTTCGCATCTTTCTCCGTTCTACGAAGCCCATTCTGAACAAGCCGCTGCATTTGCATCCACCGTTCCCCTGCGTCTTGTGCAATCTGGTTCTGCTGCGACGCAAGGTCTGCCGAGTTTGGGGTGGTTGAAGTGGTTGCATCTTCTTCGCTCAGCTAGACGGTCAAGATCTTTTCGTAAGTATCAACAGTGTTCGGATCACTTTGTTTCGCTTGGTCGTATGCTTGATTCCAGAGGTGTGCTAATAGCCTTGGGGGAGACGTGGCAGGGCCAGGAACGGTCTGTGCGTGTGGGGTGGAAGAAGGCGGGGCTTCAACATCCGAGGATGTTGGCGGCTCCTTCTTGCCGAACATGGTTTTGAAGCGGGTTTTCAAGGTCATGATAGTTGGTAGAAGCGACAAACGACTGTAGTGCGCGATTCAAACAAACGATGGAACAGTGTACTGATGGTTGGAAGGCTTCAGGGCAGCGGCAGTGGCAACTGCAGTGGCAGTGTTACTGGATACATGCATAGGCTCAGCCTCGAACGGGTGCAACTAAGCGAATATGCAGTTGTTTGCTTGGCTGCATCGCAAGTACGGCTCAAAGGCCGTAATTGCCAACGAGCTACGAAAGACATAACGAAACATGAAGGAGTTGCACAACGCAAAGTATGATGGATGGAACACTGAACACTTGTAGTAAGGGTCTTAGGGCAGGATAGAGCTAATCTAAGAGAGGTAAGACTAAGATACATCGAACAGACTTTGCAAATGCGAACCTGCAATCACGGAGCCTTATCGGCTCGCTCCCGCTCCTAGGGTAAGATTTACCCCACATTTTACGTTCACACTAAAGTAGAGTAACTTAAGGCCACTCACCCGAGCCATCACTGATAGAGGTCGACAACGCCAAGCTAGCGGGATTGTTGCTGTGAATAGAACAGGCGTCGCCGTTGAACATTTTATGCGAAATCCTGCATAAAGGTTCCAACCCACCGACATGCTTACCATACCAGAGGAGTTACTGTTACAAATCGTTTCGTGTATCGCTTCCCAGGGAGATGCTCGCGATTCACTGCGTGCATTGTGCTCCACGTACAGGACGCTACGACGTATCGCCTCAGACGCTCTTTATAGCGACGTGAGACTTGAGCCTGAGGATGCACCTCTCTTTTTGCGTACGTCATTCTAGCGCTCGGAGCTTGCTGCAACAGTAAAGCGATTGCAGGTCAGCGTTTTGTGTGGATTTAACACGGCTCTTGACCCGGACGTCAAGGCGAAGTCAATTCAAGCATTGCATGAACCAGGGCTTGCCGATAGCCTGTGGCGGCAGAAGTCTAATGACGATGTTTTACCTGCAGTAGCAGGCCTGATTCTCACTCGTCTCTCCAGCTCACCGAGCTCGACCTCAGGATCGGGCCTACTGAGCCGAATGTCGTTTCTCAGTCGCCTTAGATTCCACGTTTTGGCAGTAAAGCGATTCCGAAACCTGTATCATCTGTTCTTGAACGGGCGATCGCTTGCTATTAGTGGTAATATTCTTCTACTATTGCAGTTTAACTTTCTAAAGTTACGCAAATTACATGTACGGGAAATAACCACCTGCATGCTATATGATCACCGTGCACGACTACCTGGAGGAAGTGGCACTGAGAATCTACACCTCGAAGTCACAGACGATGTCGCAAACCCAAAACGTCGCGATCCATGCTACGGCCGATTGGACCATCTCATCGCGGCCATGAATTGTAATAAGATTACGAGGCTCTGCATCGATCTGTGGCATCCTGATACTTCGAAGGACCAATTGCAGAATATCGCGCCGGTTGTATTTGTCCGCTGCTGACATTTGAGTTTCACGCATGACTCATGTAAGACTCGCTGAGCCTCAAACTTGCTCATGGCATGACTCCAGCCTAAGCTGATGAGCGTGTCGTAGTATCTGCCATCGTTTTGGCGTTGAATGTCTATCATAATCAGGCTTGACTAACAGTTTATACAATCCTAAATTACTTTATACTGTACGCACTGATGCGCCTCATGGATCTATCTCAACATTCCTTACTTGCCACTGGGTCAATGCTCTAAGAGACGACTTTGTGTGAGGATGTTGATCTCCAAGAACCTGTTTTCTGAGCTGAAAGCATGCCTCTATCAAGGAAAAGGCCTCCATGTCGCGACTTTGGGACTTTAATGTAAAAGCGAGGTTATTCATGCTGGTCAGCGTGTCTGGGTGCTCCTCTCCAAGCACCCTCTTTCTCGTCTCCGTCACTTGCACATCCAGCTCTTCTGCCTCCTTCCACCGCCCTTGATTCCTATATGTTGAAGCGAGGTCATTCATGCTGGTCAGCGTGTCTGGATGCTCCTCTCCAAGCACCCTCTTACTCGTCTCCATCACTTGCAC